ACAGAATACAGGTTCAAGGACTGTAGGCGATCTGCATAGCTTAATCCATTCATTCCATCCACTCGCTTTGTCCACTTCCTCTGAACATTTTCTAAGACCCGCAAGTCTTTCAGATAACCTGTATGCCACAAGCATGAACAGTATTCTATAACAGGTCGGATATGAGTAGTGAGCAAGAACAACATAAATGCGCGAGACCTGCAAACGGTAGACTTAAGAAAACTATGGGCCAGGCCGCTAGCCTTGTGTGCAACAGTCCTAATGTGCTCGTGAAATTTAAGCTGCGAGTCGACAGTAACACCAAGATCAGAGTGAGAATCTACATGTGGGATTTGCTGTCCATCAAGGAAGTACACCGGTGAAGGCAAGTTAGCGCGGGGCCTCGCAAAGCGGAGAACTGCACATTTCTTTGGGTTCATTTTCAGACACCACGATGCTGCTGTGGTTTGCAGTGTATCAATGTCTTTTTGTACTTGGGCAGAGGATAACACTGGTGAGGTTCCTGGGGCATGTTTCACACAGGCATAAAGTTTCAGGTCATCTGCAAAAATTTTATATTCACTTCTCAGCTGTGATGCTACGCCGTCAATATAAACCAGGAACAACAGGGGCCCAAGGACAGAGCCCTGCGGTACACCACTGCTGACAACCCTAGGTTGGCTTATCATGTCCTTCACACACACCTGCATCTGTCTGCCCTGGAGAAATGAACGTATCCAGTCAATGAGAGCACCTGTCAAACCAATCGATCTCAGTTTGGTTATCATGAGATCGTGGCAGACGACATCGAACGCCTTACTGAAATCGAAGAGAATGACGTCAGTCACGCCACCAAGGTCCATGTTTTTAGACACTGTGTTATAATCTAGGAGTAGCTGGTCCATTGTACTTCTGCCAGCCCTGAAACCGAATTGGTTTGAGGTCAGCAGTGAGTTCGTTTCCAGGTAATTACGTATCTGCGTGCAAATCAGGCGTTCCATCGTTTTGCACACAACAGACGTCAGACTGATAGGTCTATAGTTTAGTGGATCAAACCGGGAGCCCTTCTTGAAAATAGGTATAACTAGGGATTTTTTCCAGCAAGAGGGTAGTCGTCCCTCTCTCTGTGATCTCGTGTATATAATCTGTAGAGGGTAGGCGAGGTCATCAGCACATTCCTTCAATACCTGTGGATGTATTCCATCGGGGCCCATGGCAGAGTTAGGGTCGAGATCTTTGAGAGCATGGCGAACATTCTCTGTACATACTTCTACATGGCTGAGAGTCCCGTCGAAGGCCTGGTGGGGCGAGGGGTTAGTGGGGGTGACAGTGGTGAATACAGAGGCAAAAGATGTTGCAAGTAGCTCAGCCATAGCTATGGGATCATCAGTATGGTGACCAGATTGCAAAAGCAAGGGACCAACCGCTGGTCTGCCAGTCTTCTTGTTTCTTATATAAGAATGGAGCAGTTTGGGGTTGTCCTTTGACCTGTCAATAAGACTAGATTCGTAATCACACTGCGATCTGGCGGCAAAATTTCGCAACTCGCGGTTTACAGATGAGAAAAGCTTATATGCGGCCAGTGTACCAGTAGAGCTTCTGCCAGATTGCTGCCTCACCCTCTTGTACGTCTGCCAAGCTGCCTGGCGCCTGTGAATTAAGGAAATCGGGGGTCTTGTTTTCCAGGGTGGTTTAGGGGGATTAGCTTGCTGTGTTGGCACATGTAGGTCTACCATCTCTGAAATGATGGCTGTGAAACGGTTAAACGAGTCCTCCACATTCAGGTAGGCCAGCTCGAAGTCCCAGTCCAAGAGCTGTAGTGATCTACGCATTGAAGCATATCGAGCTTTGTGCCAGTTTCTCCTGCGGGACATTGTCCTCCCATGAGGGTCAGCAGTAACATTTTCAAAGACATAGTCACATATCGTCGGACAGTGGTCACAACCTGGGAGAGGGGCTTGTACCATAAGTTGACCAATACGGTCTGGCTCAGATGTGAAGACCAGGTCCAGTGTATTGCCTGACCTCGGGTAGGTTGGCTGTGTAACCCACTGCGTAAGTCCAAGAGAGTTAAATATGTCAACAAACATTTGGATTGTCCTCGATCCTCCTGAACTATTAAGTGGATTTCCATGGCACCAGTCAAGTCCAGGGAGATTGAAATCTCCTAACAATATCACTTCCTTATCACTGCAGAAGTTACTTAGAAAGGAGCAAACAAGTTCGTTCTCAGTGTCAGAATAAGAGGGAGGTCGGTAGACTACAGCAACAAAAACATTATAAGACAAAAACATTAAAACAAACATCTGCCATAACGAGCTCGTGCAAATTGGCCGCCAACGGAAACTGATGGAAGCGCGTGCGCTAACCGGTAACGAGACGCGTCTGGTTCGTGTCTGCGACCACCCGCCGTGGCCGCCCCCGCTCCGTCTCGACCCTAATCATCGCCCCCGTCGTGACCGCCGCGAAGACGTTTACCCACACCTACACACATCCGATTTCGCGGGCGTTACGCGTCGCGACTGCCCCGGATGTGGAGCGTCGCGCCACCGTCGGCTTGAGCCAAGTCGTCCCTCGAGTCGAGTTGCCCTCGCGCTCGCCCCAGACTGTTGAACGGCGGCGGTGTAATGAGGTGTCCGGTTTCAGGGCGGCGGCGCCCTGTACCCCGCTGGGTCGGCAATCACGTAGCAATGACTGCAGCCCGCTCCTAACGGTGCCCGGGCCGAGACGCCGGGGCCCGACTCGACGAGATGGAGAGCAGGGCTTGTGGGCTCATGGCTGTATCGAGCCGCCGTGCTCAGGGGTACTGGGCAGGCCCTGTCTCCGCTCTGCTCGTTCATTCCACACGGGCTCCGCAGACCGCAGTGTATCATGCCTCCGCTCCGCTCTTTCATTCCGCATGGGTTCCGCGGCGGAACGGCCGGTCTAACCAGCTATTGTCCTCTGCAGCAGCTCACGACGACACAGGCTAAACGACGCTCCTTGTGACGACGACAGCCGGACGATGCATAAGGCAGCCGCTGGGCGGGTACCGAGTGTCACTGCAGGCCGGCGCGGCGTGGGTGACACTCAGCTCGGCTCAGAACCCGCCCAGCTCAGCTCAGCTCAGCGCGGCTCAGATCAGCTCAGACGAGCCCAGCATTCCAGGTCCGGCTGAACACAGCAGTCGGACTTTCAATCCCCGGCCGGTGGTATTGATTCTGCGAGAGGGAGCGATGCGACACCTCAATGTAACGCCCGAGGTGTGGCTCTACTTCATCGAGACTGCCTTGGTCGGTTGTCTGACAGTCGGGGACTAGTGTCAGCCTGTCTGCATCCCTGTCTGCGCCTCTGTGTCTGTTGCTGTCTGTCGGTCAGATCAGACCACCAGGCGCGTGGGGACGGGTGTCCGCCTGTCTGCCGCTGTGTCCCATCCGTGTGTCCGATCGGACGGTAGGTGCGGCGCCTGTCTGCATCCCTGTCTGCCTCTGTCTGCCGCTGTGTCTGATCGGACGGTAGGTGCGGAGCCTGTCTGCATCCCTGTCTGGGCCCCTGTCTGCCGCTGTGTCCCGTCCATGTGTCCGATCGGAGAGAGGCGTGGCGGCGGCCGGCGGAGACGTCTGCACTGTTGCTAACACCGGCCACCATCGCAGGTAGATAGCTCCACTCCCGGAGCCCAGCAGCTTGTTTGGCTCCCACACGGCTTGTTCGCGACAAATATGGTTCCAGATCGGACCAATCCAGGTTCGATATTCTCGTATTCAAAGGAATAACGTCGGGTGAAAGGATTCAGCAGATGCATGTGTAGTGCCGCGAGTCAGTTTTACGGGGTGGTAAAAGTATTTGCATCGGGGAGATTGATGCCCTGGATATATTCGGCCACATAATAGGTATCTTTTTATCAATGGGCCCGGCAAGCAGCAAACATTTGTGACGGCCTAGGTAGGCGATTGTCAGCTTCCATCAATGCCAATATTTAATTGATGTCAACAGTTGTATTTTGTGCTTCTGCCAGCTTTAAAAAGCACACCATTAAACAGATTAAATGACCGCATTAACACCTACACGACCAAGCCTTCCGCTCCTTCAAAACAGCTTTATCACAAGCTGCCGATTTCCAAGCCTCAGTCAGACTAAGCCACACCACCAAAAATTATGTCCTGGCCACTTGATTACCAGCCAAACTCTCACGGGACCAACTGCAGTGCATTGTGCACGGGTCTGAGTCACCCTCTTGCCGGCTGCGGCACCGCGTTAGCATGCAGTAGGTGTGGTGTCGGCGGCTGTTCGAGCACCAGTCGACGGCCGGCGTACGTCCTTGGCACCGGTGCGGCCGCCGAGACTAGGTGACGCCCCCGGCCACGGCAGAGCGCAGCCACGGGACCCGGGCGATAAACTGCACTGTCATGAAGGTGTGATTCATAATGGGAGCTTCCTGGAGAGGCGGAGTGCTGTGCAGTAGCCTGTGGCTGGTAATACAGGGCTGTTGGCAACAATTACAGACGCCATGTGGTGGAGACGTCTTCCAGGCACTCTGCTGAAAAATGAACACATACATGTTTTTGTGTGAAGTTGAGTGAAATAGAAGGATCTGAAAACAAATACAAAACAAAAACGTGATGCGACCTTAGGTATACAAGTGTGGACTCGGGTATTGTTAAGAGGCTTAAGACCCTTCACAAATATTGCAACTTAAATTGCAATAGGTTGACCTGACCTCGACCCAACCTGTGATCTCAAAATTCCACTTTCAAATACTCATCTGAAGCGTCTCGTCGCGTTCTTTCGTTTGCCGCCTCATACGTTTCGCTGCGCCTATTGGTTCTCGAGTTATCGGCTGGGGCGTTTAATTGCACGCCTATTGCAATTAAAGTACCCCTAAAAGAGCTTAAAAACGATCAAACAATACGTACAATTATGACATCGAACAGCCATGCACACAAATTAGGCTGCTGAGCAAACAATAAGAAAGCTTTGGGAAAGCACTTGAGAAGGATACTCAGATTTCACATCCGCTTACACCTGTTTCTGTTTTGTTGCAGAAGTACACGGAGGAGATAGCGCGTCTGCACGGTGACCTGCGCGCCACACAGCAGCACCAGGGCGTCTACCTGCCGCCGGAGAGGTACTCCAGCATGGTGGGTCAGCTGGAGCAGCAGCGGCGCGACATCCACCAGAAGGCCGACCACATCAGGAACCTTGAGCAGGAGATGCAGAACAAGGAGGTGAGTTCTGCATCAGACCGGCTGTTAGATGTGCCGGGAGAACTATGAGTGGCAGCTCCATTTTCAGCTGCCGGTGAACAGAGCAGATAGCATCAATGGGCTGTCAGGACAGGCGGCCCTAAGAGGTCACGATGGACAGCTTACAAATCGCTAGTCACGTAATCAATCATGCAGAACATAATCCATACGTTTTCGAGACGAGTTTGGTTTCACATATGTATGCGTCTGCACTCAACTGCTGGCTGGTTGTCACGTGTAGCAGGCCGTTCTGTTAAATGCTTTTTCGAATTATTATTGATGAAAGCAAAGCTGGATTGTTTATTTTACTCTGCTATTTGTTTTAGACGGAAGCGTATTTAGCCGATATAAAATACACCAGCTCCACTTTCAAAATCGGAGGAATAACATGCAGATCATCGATAGATTGAATTACAAGAAGACGGAATGCATCAACGCATACGCCATCAATCAATCACTACCAGTGCACTGTGCATTCTTTCTGAGAACCGTTATCGAGGGCTCTCTGCATTTGCAGACGCCTACTCTTCCCTTTGTTGTACCTACATAAGGTACAGACGGGAGCATCTCAGTGCATCTCAGTCTGCCCCCGTCTCCTGGCGCGGACCTGCATTTCACTGTCTGTTCAGGTTGGCTGAGCCCCACGGAGCCCACGACTTGGAGGTGTTTGTTTAGTTGCGCCCCATTGCCATGGTGACATGATGACAACACTCGCGGAAGTTCCCTCGCCACATGTTTGTGTTTTCAGCTGCTAGCAGCTAGCATTTCCCGTCTGTTGTCACCGCGTGGCGTGGAATACGTTCTCGGTACTTGGCCGAAAATAAAATAATTATAAAGACGGTTTGAGACAGCTCACACGATCCTGTTTTCTCGGTGACTGATGCTTATGAGTAAGCAATGAGAACCGGTGAGAACGTCCCCTTATTTGGCTCAACATTTGAAATATCTCCAAGAGACCCTATAACCCAGTGGCAGCAGTCCTTGTCGGTCCGAGGAGGCGATCGCTATTTGTGGATTGCGGATGTACTTACCTTTATACGGTCACTTGATCTTGGAAAATAGACATTTGTATGTTCTTATCCCATAACTAAGCGCTTGCAATTCCTAACCTAGCCTAAACATTTTCAGTTGATAAATTGTTGACGACGTGATCTAACATAAATGTCTTTCAATGAATTGCGTGCATGAGACGAACGTTCTGTTATCAATGACAAGTTCAAATGAATACGGCGCCGGGCGCTGTCGTGCTCAATAGTCATTATCGCCTTTAGCTTTGAGTAGCTCATCAGCTCAATGCTCGCCTTCGTTTCAGGTTATTTTTGCCGGTCTGAAGAAGGCATTAAAAAAGAAGACCGTAAAGCTTGTTAACAATGAAGAACAGCTCTGTCATGCCAAGCGGAAGCTTCGGAAACCAAAGCAGGTAAGAGCCTCTTCTTCCCATCCAATGCTTTCCACAGTTGAAGAGCAGATGAGAAATTGACTGCAAACTGTACCTACACGACTATTTACACAATCACCTGAGGACTCCCTGAGTCCTGAGTACTTCAATACTGCCATGCTGCACCTGCACCAGTAGCTCACGGTAGTCTACCCCTACATCACACAGATGGTAGTTGCGTGTACCGTCGCGGTCGTCTCGCCACTGACGGCTATTATGGCTCCCGTTTTGACTGATAATCACATAAATAACTGCGCGCCTGCATGCAATTAAGATACGGCCCCGGGATTTATGTGACGTCTCGGCTGACCCGGCCCGGCCATAAGCAGGCGTGTACCGAGCCGTGTGAGGGCGGCAGAAGACTTTACGTTACCGAACTGTGATCGGGAATGTGACCGGATTGCGTCATTGCGAGCGGCTATCTGAAGGAGCTGGGCGAGTCTGCCAGCCAGCAGAGCACTATCGTAAACCACATAAGCATATCTCGTGAGATGCGACAGACGCAAACTACGGCGAGCAAATTGGTAACAGATCTGTGCCCACAGATGCGAACGTCAGTCGCAATAGCGTCTTATGTTGTGCATTTAGACATAGACGTCTATACATTGCTGCACTTAACTCGTAGTTGGTTTCCTCCTTGTTAGGGATCAGATACGCCCGGCGTATGCCAGTCCACCCACATCTGACATTTCTCGGCTGGTCAGTCGTCTGAGACTGAATCAAATCTACCGCGCGTGGTCTAGCTACTTTGTGTTTGCCGTCTTGTTCCTCATGCCGTATCTCCCTGTATATCCGAGCTCGTGCTGTGTGTCCGAGATTCTACGAAAGTTTTGAAGGTGGTGCAGCCCCATCCCCAGTGGCCAGTACGGTCCCGACCTGGCCCCGATGGGGTCTCAGTCTGATTCCAATTCAGTTTTCGGGATGATCCGCTCATGTGCCTCAGCTGTATGCTGTCCTGAGCTCGGTCCCGTAGCTAGGTCTGCAGCTGGTCACCCCAGTGCTGGACGCTGCAGCTCTCTGGTTTGTGGGCGGCTGGTCCCATGGAGTCGGCACGTGAAACTATCTGCCTCGGCTCGAGGACATGCCATCCTCTCAGGACCACCTCTGCTCCCCGTCCCGCCCTCACCTATGCACTGTCTGTACTTTTCGGCCATATTGCTGGTATTTAGACCGACCAGCGAGAGAGCGCCTCTCATGATAATTGGAGAGCGACTATCTAATGTCACCGTGTGCGGGAAGAGAGACGGGCACCGAGTTACGGAGTGGTTTATGCGGGCGGTGACTGTCAGACGCTATGGCTGGGTAGGACACGGGTCGGGCCCGGCCGGGGATTCGTTGGCAGGGTTATGTTTGTCTAGTGTCTCACGGCGCCGTAATAGCATCCGGCGGCGTAATTAACGGTGCGACGATAAATCGACCCTCCCCGTAACGACAGAGCGGCCCGTCATTAATACCGCCTGAAATCGTATTTCCTCGGCGACAGCACTGAACTGCCTCTGTCATGTAAGCTCAGAGACATCTCCATGCATCTTCTCTGGAACATAATTTATTATTATGTATACCTATCTAAAAGCATACAGCGACCTGCCTGCATATTAGTGATAATTTGCTGTCTCAGGGTTCCGAATGCTTGCTATTTTTTAGCTGCACAGTTTTTCAAAGAAATCATTTCGGCGGCCTTCACGAAGAAGGCATCAAAACTGAATATATGAACCAGCTTGACAGATCTCATGGACCGCGAAACACCAAACGACATGACCGCAAACCAACCGCAAACCACGCTCATCCATTTTCCACTCGTGCCCTCAAACCGCATTCATCCATTCATTTGCTGTTCAACGTGGCACCGGGGAGCAATTCATTTTCATTTCGTTGCACGACAGAGCCGCTCGACACCGGTGGTCACGAGTCAGTTGGAAGTGGGTGCAAAACGACTGCATAATCGGAGCCCGCTGGAAGCATGCCAAGCAGGTGGCACATCAACCAGTTGAGGAAGCGTGAACCGACTCCAAAGAGATCCATGAGCGGCTCATGAATATACAAAGGTGCTGTCTGCAATTTATGGGCCGATTGTAATTACCCTTTATCGATTTTATACTTATTGTTAATCCATATGGCTGGATGTGCCGATGCGCTTTATCGCATTTTATTCATCGCAGCCTCGGCGTACGGCGTTGGCAACTTGTCTAGGCACGTTGATGTTAAAAGTCATTGACCTAAATAGCGCATTCAGAACACCTGTGATGGTGAACTGGTGTTACTGTTGCCGCCTGTCCTGACGGCCAAATATCGCGCTCAGAGACGAAGGCCGGGCGATCTCTGATGAACGACGCGCGTACCTTGCAGCGCTGTTACTGGGTCATTGCCAGCAGCAGCCGCCAGCCATCACCGATCACTTAGCCGGCCATTAAAGCTGAACATCTAATGGGCCATGAAGCGATCGGAATGGTGCATCAGTGCCAAGGCGCCACTTCGCTCTTCAGCCATTCAAAGATGCAACGGTGTATGCAGTATACATCGTAAACTTTGGGTATATTAGAAAGAGGTATTTGCAAACGCAATCGAAGCTGCCGGCTGTCTACCGGCCGACTTTGGTCGTATTTGAATGGGTCAGGTGACTGAATCAATTGCCATTTTTTCCTTTCATGAATGCTGTCTTACGCCTTGCGACACAATCCAGGTGAACATGTAAGCACTCGCTCGATCAGTAGGTAACCTGTGTTTTCCGTCGTGTGCCCTCAGCCGCTGCGGCCGGCCGACCCGGCTCTGTCGGACGAGCGGAGCCCCCTGTCGGCGCAGCAGGACCAGGGCGAGCGCCGTCTGGCGGCCGACGACCAGCCGCCGTCGGACACTGAGCGGCCCCAGTCGGACCCGCAGGCTGAGGACGGCCCGGCCGGTCGGCGTACCCCGCTGGGCCGGCGCAACGAGCTGGTCGGCCGCCAGTTCCACGCCCAGTTCCAGACGGACATGGCACGACTGGAGTCGGCCCTGGAGAACGCCTTCCAGATGCAGCGCGCCTTCTGCACGCAGATGTACGCCAACCTGGGCGCGGCCGTGGAGAGGCGGAAGCACGAGGTCGCCTCCCTGACCAGCCTGCTGAGCGCGCTGCTTGGATCGCAGACGGAGCAGCTGCGCGAGCTGGAGGCACACGCTCAGTCGGAGGCGGCCGGCCAGCACAGCTGGATCGGCGCGCAGCTGGCGGCGATTGCGGCGCGCCGGCAGGCCCAGGCCGACACCCTGTCGGTGCTGCAGCGGCAGCTGGCGGCCGGCGCCGAGGCGGTGCTGGCGCGACTGGCGCAGCTGGACGCCAGCGCCGAGCAGCGCCAGGCCGAGCTGCGCCGCTGGCTGCAGCAGCACGACGCCGGCCTGCGCGCCGTGCTCGACGAGCTGGCCGAGCTGGTGCGCCGGCGGGAGCAGCAGGCGCGCCAGGAGGCGGAGGAGCGCGCCGCCGCCCTGGAGGCCGAGAACCGGCGACTGGTCGACCGACAGGCCAATCTCACCGGACGAATAGAGGTGAGATAGACCACACAACAGCGTCTTTGAGCCACTTTTTAGTGCTTTGAAAAAGATAGCTCGATAAAGCTCTGGGTATTAAGCCGCGCGATAGCAAAGTCACGTGAGATACCCTGTAACGATGTGTAATATTAAGCGCTCTCTCAAGGTGGTTTTAACTCGATTGATCTGTCATGAACCCTCTTCTCCCACCTATCGCCTGTTTCCAGTCCCTCCAGGCCAGTCTGGCGTCGATCGGGGCAGCTTTAGCGGCCAGCTCAGCCACTGTCGAGCAGCTGGCAGCTGCCGCGGCTGAGGAGGGAGCCTCCGCCGAGTCAGCCGCAGCTGACAGGAGGGCGCTACTCGAGGAGACCAGGCGGGAGGAGACCGAGTTCTACACCGCTGCCGGGCAGAGGATCGAGAGGGCCCGCGCGCGCCTCGTGGAGGGCACCTCGACCCTGAACACACTGCTCAGTCAGACAGAGAAACAGGTGGGTCGTGAACGGAGTTCACTGTTCCAGCATAGTTCCAGCAATGTTCCAGCAATGTTCCAGCATATAGTGCAGGTTAAGTGCTTTGCACCAGTGTTTATCAGAGATAATTTGTTCAAGTTCTTCGCTCTCATGCCAACTATGGATCCATCCTGTTGTGTCTCTGGTGGTCATCTGAGCGCAGTGTGTACTGTAATGCGAACGTGCTGTGCTGAGAGGTGATGCATCTGAGCGTCCATCAATGGTCCAGCAATTTATGACTCTCCCCGCGTCTCTTCTCTCTCCAGACGACCCGCGAGGCGGGCGAGGCGAGCACTCAGCTGGAGCGAGCCCGCGAGGCCTGGACGCCGACCCTGGCCGAGCTGACGGCCGGCTGGGACGAGCACTCTCAGCTGCAGGAGGAGGCGCTGCGGGCCCGCTCGGAGGCCGTCAACGGTGGCCTGCAGCACGCCCAGAAGCGGGTGCAGAACTTGGCATCGTCGCTGCACGGTGCCGTGCGCGGCAGTGACCAGCTGCTCGAGAGCCAGAGTCGCGGCTTCTTCGCGTCTATCCGCGAACGCCAGGAGGAGCTGACCGACGAGTGCGCCAGGATCGAGACCCAGTCGGCCGCCATAGGGGAGATGGTTCGACGGCGCGACAACGAGGTTGAGGTCAGTGCCCACGGTCATGCTGAGGTCAATGCGACGGGATCGCATTGTCATTCAATTAATTGAAACGGATGCTTCGCGCTTGTTAAAAATGCTACCGGTTTAGCGTGTAAAGTCACAGCACTTAAACACATTTTGATCGCCTCATTTAACGCGTCAATATTTATAATTTCTAGAATATACCTTTTCAAAAGTCCGCCGTCAATCGACCTAACCTGTGACCGGCTAGTTTTAATCTCCTCGCTCATCTCCCGACAGGTGTTTGTGCTGGACACGCTTCACCGAGACCTGCTGTTGGGCAGCACCCCTCGGCAGCGTCAGCTCTCCTACCAGCGGTACCGCCTGGCCGCCGCCCGGGGAAGACAGTCGGACCAGCCGGCCAGTGACGTCATCGGAGGCAACGTGAGGCACAGACTGAACAGTAGGGTTGTTAAAAAAACCGATTTTTGGAAAAGTATACGGGCTCATGGCTCATGTGGTGCGGTATTCTTTTCTGAGTCCAATGATACCCTTTTTTCCGAAAAGTATTACTGCTAGGCGCTGCTCAAACGGCTTAAAGAGGACCATGTTACGCCCGCCGACCGGCCGGTGTCAATAAGGGCGAGAACTCGACGCCGCGCGCCGGCGGCAGCGCCTTATCGGCACCGCGCGCCACGGCATCTGCCGGGCGGCCGGCTGGGCAGTGGGATGTTACAAGCGCGTGGTCTTATTGCACACGATCGGGGTGAGCTATCCCATGTTTTCGGGGCGGAAAGTTTCAGTGCAGCATCGGTGCGGCTGCTGCGGTGGTCTGTGTCGATGGTACAGAAAATAACTCAAACAGAGCTCAGAAAAGACTGAATGATTCCGGATAGTTGCCTCGAAACAATCCGTTTCAAGAATACAGCTGCCTTCTTAGCGTACTGTATCACTTTTTAATTCTTCAAAAAGCAAGCTCTGAGCAATAACAGACTTCTTTGCATTGCTGTTGACAATTTAAGTTGCTTTTGGACGGTGGCTCGCAGCTCCAATATGCTGCCGCGTAACTCTATTCCAACGACGAAACGGCAACTTAGCGAGAATCGAAAATTTAACGAAGTAGGTAGTAGGTACAACAGGAGCTGGCAAGGCTCCTGCATTGGTCCATCCGTCATGAGTGACACACCGGGGTAATGTGTCACGTCAGGGCAGAGCTGTGTTCTATGCCGGGTCTGGATTCGGGTCTTGATCGGCATCGGTGGGCACGGCCGCCCTGGCCGGACTGCCGGCGTCGCTTATGCTCGAAAGATTGGATAAACGGCGCTTTATAGGTACTCCGGCTAATGTCTCTACTCATGTCTCACTTCGTCACACTGTCAGGGTGGCCACCCTGTCATTCCCGGACATGCTATGTTTTATTTCGGCCTGCTAATCTAAGTTAAACCTGGCGTCGATTCTGTTGCTTCAGCATTTGACATCAACGTATCTGCATAATGACATTGGTGACGCCCATGCTCGTCAAACCCACCCCCAAACTTGGACCGATGACTTCCGGGTCTCCATATTCTGATTTCTGTTCTTGTGCATTGTCAGCTCTTGCTGTACGTAAATCGTGAATTTTCGATTCTCGCACAGTTGCGCGTTTCGCCGTTAGATGTAAGTTGCGCGGCAGCATATTGGGGGTGCGAACCACCGTCCAAAAGTAACGTGAATTGTCAACAGCAATGCAAAGAAGTCTGTTATTGCTCAGAGTTTGCTTTTTAAAGAATTAACAAGTGATACGGTACGTTAAGAAGGCAAATGTATTCTTGAAATGGTTTGTTTCGAGGCAACTAACCGGAATCATTCAGTCTTTTCTCAGCTATGTTTGACTTATTTTCTGTACCATCGACACAGACCACCGCAGCAGCCGCACCGATGCTGCACTGAAACTTTCCGCCCCGAAAACATGGGATAGCTCACCCCGATCGTGTGCAATAAGACCACGCACTTATAACTTCCCACCGCCCAGCCGGCCGCCCGGCAGGTGTCGTGGCGCGCGGTGCCGATAAGGCGCTGCCGCCCGTGCGCGGCGTCGAATTCTCGCCCTTATTGACACCGGCCGGTCGGCGGGCGTAACATGGTCCGCTTTAAGCCGTTTGAGGAGCCCCTAACAGTTAATACTTTTCAGAAAAATGGACATCATCGGACTCAGAAAAGAATACCGCACCACATGAGCCATGAGCCCGTATGCTTTTCCAAAATTCGTTTTTTTTAACAACCCTACTGAACGGGGTGGATGGGGCTGAGGGCACAGACTGAATGGAATGGGTGGGGATGAGGGCAGAGACTGAATGGGGTGGGTGGGGATGAGGGCACAGGCATATTAAATGTCTTATAAAATGATTGGCTGTTTGAAATGCCCGTTCTCCCCACTCACGGTTGAAGCCGGTCCCGTAGCTCAGTTGGTAGAGCGTTGGACTCCGCGTGGTGAGAGCACTGTATTGTATTGTATTGTATTGTATTTACGATCATGGGCGATCCACACATGGCGTGGCGATTACTGCCCAGAGTCTGAGTCGGGTATAAGCATGCAGGAACAGAGACCAGTCGAACAACAACACACACACACACACATACACGCACACACAGGAAGACTCTATATGCTACGATTTCTAACATACTGTGTAGGTACTTATATACATACAAGACGAGTGCCTAATTCAGGCCATCACGAAGGTCTATCGTTTTTCCACAGAGACTTGACAGCGCGTGCGAATTTAGAGGGTGGCAGCTGTGAGAGGTCGGGAGGTAGGTCGTTTAGGAGCTCGGCGGCACGGTAACTGAAACGCCGCTTACCGGTTTCTAGTCTGGGACGCTGGAGCTGGAGAAGGTTATCCTGACGTGTATTTCTATTCCTGGTTGAGGAGTCCCGGTTTTTGGCAAACATAGAGGCAAGTGCTACCGGTTCGCCGTAGTGTATCGCCTTACGTGCAGTGGCCATGGTTTGAAGTTTGTACATAAATTCGGGCGGCATCCAGTTGAGTTTCTCGCGCAGGTCAGTGACGTGGTCGAATTTGCGACGGCCAAAAATAACTCGAGTAGCGAAGTTCAAGATCTTTTGGAGTCGATTCAGGTTCTTTTTTGTACCATTTCCGTAAACTGAGAGGCAGTAATTTACTCGGGAGATGACTAGAGATGTGACAATGGTTTTGATGACCCCATCGGGAAGACAGTGCCGCACATGGGAGAGGCCGATGAGCAGACCCATACACCTCCGGCTGAGCTCAGATACATGGGCTTCCCAGGTCAGACAGCTGTCAAACACCACGCCGAGGTTTCCTGCCTGCGCACATGGTTCCAGCTCCGTGTCACGAAACGATACGACGACTGGGGGCAAGTGTTTTAGATTTTGACGGCTGCCGAATATCATGAGTTGCGTTTTGCTCGCGTTGACCTTCAGGGCGTTAGAGTGGAACCATTTGTTCAGTGCTTCTAGTGAGGCCTCCATGCGCGAGATAAGGCCACTTACATTGTTTTTTGGGCCACTCACTAGAAGCTGGGTATCATCTGCATATTGGAAAACGCATGCGTCGTCGGCGTGAAGCGCCAAATCGTTTGAGAAGATCGTGAATAAAAGAGGACCCAGGGCCGAGCCTTGAAACACGCCCATAGTGTTAGGGAGTGGTCGTGACAGAACCCTGCGCTGGAGTCCATCGGTCATTGAAACGCTTTGTGTGTGACCTTTTAGATATGCTTTAAACCAAGGAGTTTCGATGCCGTACAGTGCGAGTTTGTCGAGAAGGAGTTTATGATCTATGACATCGAAACATTTGCTGAGATCGATAAGGCATAGGAAAGATATGTCTCCCCTGTCCGTGGCAGCTAGGATGCGGTCGGTGACGGACAAAAGTGCTGTTTCAGTTGAGTGTTGGGGTCGAAAGCCATGCTGACTAGGTGCCAAAAGGTGATTTTGAGAGAGATAGTGTTGTAGCTGCTGCTGGATGACTCGTTCAACAACTTTCATGATAACTGGTACTAGAGAAATGGGTCGAAAGTTGCTGGGGTCAGATGGGTTTCCGGATTTGAAAATGGGATGGACTATGGAATGCTTCCATTGCTCGGGGATGTCAGATTTCGAGATGCAGGTGTTTATGATGTGCTGTATGACGCTGCCAATAGCCAAGAAACTGGTTTTTAGCATGCGGATGCACACACCGTCCGCTCCGCAGGCGGCTGAGTTCCGCATACTGAAAACCGTGCATTCGAGCTCACCGAGAGAGATAGGCCTCCTTCCCATCAAAAGGTTCGGACTAAATTTAAAAAAAGGTTTATTTGATGCCTAGCAGCCATTTCCAGATCTGTATCACCACCACCCGATAGCTACTGGTCTTTGAATATCACATCAGGTGCTTTACCAGTGGCATTCATGGTCAGGAATACAGCACTGTAGTGCGCTACAGTATAACTGCAGGCGCTTTATCAGTGCCATCTAGCGTCAGGAATTTAGTACATAATGTGTTGCGGTACGGTATAGCTGCAGGCGCTTTAGCAGTGCCATCAAGCGTCGGGAATATAGTAATGTATTGCGGTACAGTATGACTGCAGGCGCTTTACCAGTGCCATCTAGCGTCGGGGATATAGTAATGTGCTGCGGTACAGTATATATGCAGGCGCCTTACCAATGCCATCTAGCGTCAGGAATAAAGTAATGTGTTGCGGTACAGTATGGCGTTTTACCAGTGCCATCTATAGCGTCGGGAATATAGTAATGTGTTGCGGTACAGTATCACTGCAGGCGCTTTACTAGTGCGTGCCACATAGGTAGGCCTAGTGCCGGAAACATTGAGTAAACAATCGGTGGTGCAGCATAGTTAGGCATCGGTAGAAACTATGGGACTCATTTGAGGTGTTTTGCTGTTGCTGTTAGCGTCATGCACGGTTCTCACAAGTGGTTTTCTTTTTTCAACTATTTCCGTCATACAAACAGCACATAACAGCACATAGCCTTCAATAACATTTAACTCGCCGCCGTAATTTGTTTGGACTTATCTAAGTAAGTTTTGCTTCCGGCTGACGGGTTCTTCTGATTCCAGAGCACCCAGCTGTCAGATGATCCAGCCGATGACGGGTTGAAAACTGCACCGTCCCCGTTCAACGTCACTCGGCTGGATGGGCGGCTAGAGGACTCGGTCTCCGACAGCAAGTCCAACAACCACACTAGCAGCGCTCCAAACCAGGTCAGAATCGTGGGTCTGCTCGAATCTGTCTAATAATGTAAAGATTTTATAAGTCTTTTGTGTTTTTCTGCTGTTCGCCTTTCTGAAACTCGTCCGCTCAGCCTTTGTCTGACATATTTAATGATTACTTTAACTAAGTCAAAAGAGGCTTTGTCAAAATTATGACCAGTTTTATATCAATTCAATGGCTGATCATCCTTCTTTTCAGGGAAACGAGCATGCAAAGCACAGGAGCAAGCTCTCCAGGTCATCGGCCGGTCGACATCGTCGGCGAATGCGGCGCGCTCGAAGGCGCCACGCGTCTCGACGTGCCTCCCGAGCCAGGGAGAGGGGTGCACTCCGGTCACCGTGTCTGATGCCCCCCGGTGGCTGAGTCTTAGGAATACTGACAGCTTAGAGAGCCAATAGGAGCCGCGGGCTGAGCTGCGGTCACTGACCTCTAACCTCAGAGCTCGGTCAGTTGTGCGGGTACCGATACGGGACATCTTTCACTCGGGTACACCCGAGTGTGACCTTATGACCCCGATAGACCGCCGCTGACGCCAGAGACACGGTAACTTCTCACTGCCAAATGAAGCGACCTGCCTCGAACCACTGCCTCTGATGTAGAGTTCATCATGACCTAGGTGCGCGTGGTGCCCCCGCTGCGACCCGGAGACACTCCCTGTGATGTCGGTGACCTCACGTGGTGTGACGTCATCTAAGGAATTTCGACCGATGTCGGGTGGAGCGCCCTTTTACATACTGCCTCCTATGGAGTGCACAACTGACGGGTGAGGCGCCTGTGGGCGAGAATGTGAACATTTGAACGATCTGTGTCTGATTTTGTTCGCATTCAGACCATAACGAGACAGCGCCCGGTGGGTAATGTGAGGAGTCAGGTCAAACGAGTGCCATGAGATGTGTGTAAGTTGTGGTGACCTCACTGTGGGTAGCGGCGATTGCTGTATTGGTGTTACGCGAGTCACTAAGCCGGTAGACGCGTCCGGGCTTCCTGGTCAAACTGTGCCTTTCGGGGATTTAGAACTGAACATAACGCCTTTATACGCTTTGCCGCGACTGAACATAGCACACTTGATATCAATTATCATGGACAGATTGTTTTACAGTGAAAATAAGACCCCCTATCGTATTGACTCTGCAATCTGCATGCAACTGCCAAATAACATAGTTCACATTTTGCAGCCATGCCAGGTGATTCAACACGACCGACAGCTGTAGATTCTACGCAACATGTGCCATATACCTACTTATAGTTCAATGTTGATAGCCATAGATTGATTTGTTTACCATGCCCAGTCATTTTATGATATTTGCGAACACAAAAAATTATCGGGAATTTCGTTGTCCATTGCGCTGCTTACACGACAAAGCAAATATATCAGGTCAGCAAACTTTTTGTGTGTGCGTTTCTTATGCTAATATTAGTGCTGAGTATTGATCACCTAAATATCTACACGTTACACAGTACTGAGTATTGACGAGGCTGGGATGAGAATCCTAATCCTCAGCTGACAGCATGCTTTTTTTCCTAGCGCGTATATTTGTATGTAAAATTATCCGTTATAATAGGATAGCGGGCTAAATAAGCATAACAATGTAGGCACTGCTAGGATATCAGAAATGCCTAACACACATATATTATATCGTCCGTCACCATGAGCCACCAAGAGGTCACTGACAGAATATTAACTTGAAATTTGACATAGCTTCTAATGAATGCCTAGTCCATATTTTTTTTTTTTAATTTTGCTCCCGACGGGCTAAGGCTCAGGTAAGGGTAAAGGGGAAGTTACTATATAGCTGGCAATTTGCCATATCTTCCGTTTTACTCTACTTTAATGCCGGCGTATGTTATTCCGGCCCAAGGCAATAGCAAGAGCAAAGTTAACGTGAGACCGGCTCATGTGACGTCCGGTGGAAGCAAGTGCAAGGGAAAGCCGGAAAGTTTGGTGGTTGTAGCGTAAGATGACGTCACAGTAACGTCATAAAATTTTATCGTTTTTCGATGTAGAGCGCTTCTGATGTCATTGAGCATGAAACGCAACGGTAAATAAACTGGGTAAACAGCACCTGCTGGCATCCTGACACATCTAAGCGCACTTTCAACCAAATCCTGACCAGTGATCGACCGCCCTATATATCCAATCCCGTATACCAGATATATCGTGAGGAAACTATGAAACGCCAATCTTTAATTGGACTTCTGACGTCACTGTGACGTCACATCAAATGGGATCGACACCAAATTCGGACACAACTTCGGCTAGCTATTTCGGATCATGTAAGCACAGTTTTATCTCTCTATCTCTCCGCATTGCGACGATGTCGTCGGAATTCGGATAAGTTAAAGGGGGGGGGGGCAACTATATAGTTGTTCCGCCTCCTCAGCGGCCGGTGGGTGACGCGGAGTCCCAGCGGCCGCCGGTTTAACAAATTACAAAACTATGCAGCTCAACTGCCAAGGCCCAAAAGTGCATTGAGCAGCAGAAGCTAGTTTTCAAGAACTAGCATGCTGCTTGCACGTGGCCCGTGGTGACACACTGAAAAGGGGATTAGTTCGCGTTAGTGCTGTGATTCTACATATATGACATAACTATGTAGGTACAGTGTACACCTAGTACATATGCATAAATATCTTGATGGGAATGAAAACACTTTCTCCCGCCCCGGTGCGCGTTTAGGTAACGAAATTCTAAACTTTCGGATAGAGACTAAGAATTTAACTCGCGCATCGTGGTGGTGGTGGTGGTGGTGGGGAGCAAAGAGTGGGGAGGGTTTTCACTCCCCCCCAAGGATATTCGATGTATTGTATCATATGCATGAGCAATAGGCATCCTTTAATACCTATGCACGTACATACTCGTATGCCACATGATCTGTGATCAGATCAATGCCCTGGCGTGGGCTAATCCATTGTCAAACGTCAGTGGGCTAAAATATAGGCATCCTTATCCATACGCAAGTAATCCAATCCAGCCCGACGTCTTTGCAGTGGCGCATCCAGAGGGGAGGGGGGCATGGGGGCCATGCCCTCCCCTTGGGCCTCCCGGGGGCAGTAGCGGCGGAACACCTTCGATTAAGGGAGGGGGGGGGGGCACCGCCGACTTTTGGTCCCATTCTTTCCATGCAACGCCCATAGGGCTAATGTTAAAATGCCAAAATCAAAGGAGGGCACGGTGTCCCGGTGCCCTCCCCGTTCCGCCGCCTATGCCCGGGGGTACCATCACGGAGGTTGTTTTAGTTCATCACGGAGGTCACCGACGGGAGCTTCAACCCAGAAATCTCCTTAGGGGGCACCATCCAGAAGGTCTATCGGAATAGGGTACCGTTTTCGGGGTCTCCCGGAGGCCAATTTCTGTCCCCCGCCTCGGGTGGGGCTATTTCCATCCAGAGGTCCGCGGGGGCACCATCTAGAGTTCTCCGGGGGCACTATCTCGAGTTCTCCGTGGGCACCATCCCAAGGTCGGAGGGGGCACCATCTCGAGGCTCCGGGGCACCATCCCGAGGTCTCCGGTGGCACCATCGCGAGGTCTGGGGGCACCATCCCGAGGTCTGAGGGCAGAAAGGGCACCATCCCGAAGTCTGTCTCCGGGGGCTCCATGATGTCTCCTGGGGCACAATTCCAAGTTTCCAGGGGCACCATTCCGAAATCCGATGTCTGAAGGAGCACTCTCCCCGGGTCTGAGGGGCACCATCCCGAAAATTTAGTGGCCGAAATCTGTGGATTTTTTTAGGGGGCCCCCCTAAAAAAATCCACAGATTTAAGGGGGGGGGGGGGCAAATGCCAGGGGGCACCATAATACCGTATGCACCACGCATTACGAAATGTTCTTGCAAACCCTTGACGAAATCCTGAATCCGCCACTGGGTCTTTGCGAAATAAAATCAAATAATCAGGTAGTTGTGTAGCACCCTTTTTATGCGCTATTAGGCCAACATTTTTTTATGTAAATACACTTTAAGAATAAAAAAGGCCTAAATAGTGGTATCAAAAGCAGAAACATTTCAAAGTACTATAGCAATTTGCAGTTAATAACTATTTGGCTGTCATGACTTAATTTTTTTTGGTCAGATTTGACTCACTTGCGCCAGTTTGTACTTTTGATGTCGTCAGCAATCGTCATTTGTTGTTGTGTATTATTTCAATTATTTGCCGGTCTCCTCCTGCAAATTGGATTGAATTTTGCGAAAAAGTCCTGTTGTTTGATCTGTTCGGTATAAAATTTTCTCGATTTTTTTTTTAAAGGACTGTTAGGAAAAATCAGCCGAAGCTGTGAGTGCGGTTAAACCCATCCAAGGGGTTCCGTTGTCACTGACAGAATTAAGTTGAAGTGTTTGAGCCAGTTTGAACCACGGTTTCAGTTTGAGTTCAAGACTGGAACTAGTGGCTTCGGCTGGGCCGCTTCCTGAAATATATCCAAATATGTATCTTTCGCTTACAATTGCTTTTCTGAACATTGTGAGCTTCCCACAATTTGTATCTTCAACATGGAACACAAATGAGTACATGAAGCGTGAGAACTCCTTGATACGACCTTTCCATGGTGAGTGGTGGAGACATTTCACTTTAATTATTGTTCGTGTTGGCCAACCAATTTTGGTATTAGTAGAGCAGACATCACACGAAGGTTTTCCAACCAAGGAGAGGCGCTATGCCTGGAGATACTTCTTTCTAACAAAACCTAAACAAACCTAACCTAACCTGACCTAACCTAACCTACAACCTGCAACCTACAAACCTACAACCTAAAAACCTACAACCTACAAACCTACCCTACAACCTACAAACCTACAGCGCCTCTCCTTGGTTGGAAAACCTTCATGTGACGTCTGCTCTACCAATGCCCCAATTTCTTCTTATTTTGTTTCAGTGTTATGCACCAGTAAAACGCCTTTTGGGCGAAGAAAGAGCGAGCGAGATAGTGAGCCGTGCATGTGCCGAAGGGCGAGGGGGTACTTCCAACGGGCTTGTGCAAAGCACCCTTCTAACCGGTCACTAGCGGTGTGCCAAATTTGAACGCAATTGGCCCAGCCGTTCCTGAGATCTGGAAGCGTCATTCTGCACGTGCGCACGTGCAAACGGGGTCCAAAATGACTTTTGCACGGCACCCTACTAATCGGTCCCCAACCGTGTACCAAATTTGAGCGCAATTGGCCCAGCCGTTCTCGATATCTGGAAACGCCCCCTGCACGTGCGCACGTGCAGTAGCACGCTAACTGCAACACATGGGAACGCATTGCCTGGTCGGTGCCTACCTGTATGCCAAGTTTCAGCAAAATCGCCCCAGTAATTACCGAGTTACTGAAATGGGAAAAAATTTGGCACCTCTTCTTTTTGTATTTTGCACGTGCAGTGGGGGTCACTCACATAGATCAAGAGTATCCGACCTTTGGTAGAAGGGATGCAGCTACCCTATAAAAATTACCGCAAGACAATCACTCAAGCCGCTGCTGAGATATGGGCCTCTCAAAATAATTACTTTTGCAAAACTGCTTGAACACCCTTGACTTTTCACGTGGCACGTGCCACGACGGTCACTGAGATGTATCAAAAGTAGTCAATTACGGGGTAGAAGGGATGGGGCTACCCAGCAAAAAAGACCGCAGGCCAATCGGTCCAGCGGTTGCTGAGATATAAGCCTCTCAAAAGCGTTACAGGCCGGGCCGGGCCGCTCATACTGAGATTTTTCCGTTATATTGAAAAGACTCACTTCGCTCGCTGCGCTCGCTCGCTCGTAATCAGCATGGTGATGATGAGAGCACTGACTTCAACTGGGTTATGCTGCAATTTGTTTTTATCTCTTGTGATCATGATTCATGATATTTGCACAATTATGGAGCAAGCAAGATTTGCAGTAGTCTTTCAGCAGGCATCACACTTCCATTTCAATTTAATGCTGGAGTGCAGTAGTGGGCTGTGGCTTTGAGACGGCTGCTAGTTTATTACATCACAAACATACTATGATGCAGCATTTTTGGTAAATGTGTAGATGCTCGCAAAGTTGCCATTTCACCGTTGGAATAAAGTTGCGCGGCAGCATATTGGGGGTGCGAGCCACTGTCCAAAACTAGCGTAAATTGTCAACAGCAGTGCAAAGAGGTGCTCAGAGTTTGCTTTTTGAAGAATTAACAAAAAATACGGTATAGCGTATCACTTGTTAACCCTCGCCCGTATTGGTGTTTTTCCAGCCGCGAACGTATAAGGGGGGGGGGGGGGGGGTCCGTTGGACCCCCCTTGCCGTTTCGCCCCTGATCGAGCTAGAGCTTCGCGGAAAAAACGAGCGTGTTGCCCGTGACGAGAGGAAGCCGATGATACCCAATTTTAAGGTCTTAGGTCATTGGTTGACCTTGCAGGTCAGGTCAATGACCCCAAAGGCGGGAAAATCGGGACCTGTTAGAACGTCGTAAAGTGTAACTGCTATGGGGTTTTTCGGGGTGCTGATCACGAATATCATGTTAGTTTTGATCACAGATGATGTCTTCATGTATTTAGGCCAGGTCGGGTCAGGTCAGGTCAGGTCAACCAGTAAGGGAGTAGGTGGCAACCACCTCTGACAGCTTCATAACATGTTACGAAGGCACCAAAACTACTTCGTAAATGTTCATATATGGTTGCTAAATTCCAATTCAGCTCCAAAAACTGGCCTAGAAACATGTAAAACTCGAAAAAGTGAACCGAGGTCATCAAAGGTCATTGACCTGACCTGACCTTCAGGTGACCTTGACACCCACCCTAATGCATGGGGGCAACATCATATCACATGTTTGAACGCTTGAAACCACGAAAAGACTGCAAACGCGCGGCTAATGCGAGCCGACATACGCCGAATCGCGATTCCAGCCAAACATGCTCTCGAAAAGTAGGTCACAGGTCAAAGGTCATTTGGGACAGGGTCATGAAATTTTCAGGGAAGGTGTGAAATTGATGAACGCGAGGGTACTGAAAGTTTCATCGCGATCGGCCGCTTTTTACGCGAGTTATTCGCGAAAAACTATGGGGGGGGGGGGTCCGTTCGACCCCCCCCCCCCTATACGGGCGAGGGTTAATTCTTCAAAAAGCAAACTCTGAGCACCTCTTTGCACTGCTGTTGACAATTTACGTTAGTTTTGGACGGTGGCTCGCACCCCCAATATGCTGCCGCGCAACTTTGTTCCAATGGCGAAACGGCAACTTCGCGAGAATCGAAAATTCAGCGATATACGTACCATCTTCACATATACCTACCTACTGCATTTTCTATCAAAAGAAATTTGGCAGTGATGAATAATTGTACGTTGTACTGAGTTTTGAGCTCTGTGATGAGATTCAGATTGGGATTGCTCATTTGAATTCCAACGGTGGCAAGAAATCACGGTGTTTATTACCAATTTTTGAACTATCATTAGGGGAGAGTGGGGTGGGTTGTATCAGTTTTTACTCCGAGACCCATAACCTCGTAACTATCCGTGATAAACTCATTATTTCCATACTATCCCCTTCCTTGATTCTTCTGCTTTTTTGTGCAAAGTAACTTTTCCGCTACCTCTACCAGTTTTTCTTCTACGGTCTCCCGAATAGAACAATGTTTTTGATACAACTTGCCCCATGGCTTGGGTGAGTTGTATCACATGGTGGGGTAATTTGTATCACTATTTCACGTTTCAGGGAGTGTGCTTGCTACTGGTTTTGAACATAACAACAACATTAAATGGGGTTAATGCAATGTATAGGTATGCTCAAAGGCTTCACTTTATTAGACCAAACTTAGGTCAATGCGATCCGAACGAAACATACTAGACGCAAAAGTGGCCCGTTAAGAGCATGAAGAAGCTAACACATTGTGCCGAAATGGAACGAGCATTGACTAGCTACCTACAAACGCGAGCCAGGGGCTTAGCTTTCGCGATCAAAAGCAACATACCCATACATACAAACATACATACATGTTACAACATACCCCACCCGGCTCTGATACAACATGTACCTAGCCGCCATCTTGGAAAAAACATCCTCGTGCTAAAAAAACAGCGGACAGCTGGAGAAATCCGTTTTCACTCACGCAGCCTTAGAACCTACCCTCACCACCGCTACGGAGATCTTTCAAATTCGTGCACATCTAAATGCCCAGAACACACATTTTCTTGCAACTTATTTTTTTAGAATGACATTAAAAAAACATAAAATCGGCTCTCACCTCGAGACGCGTCCACTCAGCCACAAGATAGAACAGGGAAAGATGGCGCCCGGAAAACCTCGTCGGCTGGTCGTGTCACGAGCGCCATCCATTGGATAAGTTTGGCACAATTCGCCCTGATACAACTTGGACATGATACAACTCTCCCCGCTCTCCCCTACTATATTAGTGGGTTGAAATACCACTGATGGAGTGCAGATAACTGTGTACGAAGCACAATTTTGAACTCTGTAGTGACTAGTGAGACTGTCTTGGAGACAGCTGGTGCAAATCCCATAATGCCCAGTTCATTATATCAAGTTTGAATCTAATCTGACCTTACATAATCCAGCCTAACCCAAAGTGACCTAACACCCACCGAGTTTTTACCTAACACATTAGATCAGGTTTGGTTGGGTAACATTGGGAGAGGTTAGGTTAGTTTGGATTAGGTTGGGTTAGGTTATGTTACAGGTGAGCTTTATATAATGAACTGAGACTGATTGGATTTGAACTGGCTTTCTCACTAGCTACATAGTTGAAAATTTGGCATCTTACACAGTCATCCTATGCTTCATGAGTGGTATTTTAACCCACTGATAGTGATGCAGAGTTAAAAAATCGGTAAAACACGTGGTAGCTTATTGCCGTCGGTCGCATTCGAACCCGCGATCTCAAGCTCGTCAGAGTCTTAAAGTCTGCTTTATGTACAGGGTGTCCCAGAAGTCTTGAAGCTTTTTTATTTTTGTCGTGTGTCCTTGCTATGCCACCGATTAAGGCAAATGATGCCTCAAACGAAAGAGAATGAACTGAAATTTTGTATTTTCATGCGTAGAGCACCACTTTAGTCGCGTGGCCCCCGTTGTGAGTCGCACAAGAACGAGCACGAGAGATCACGTTCTTCGCGGCCGCCAAGATCTCCCGATTTGCGAAACACAGGTGTCGCACTGCCCGTTGCTTGTCAGCTTCAGAGTCTTATTCCATTAAGCGAGCCAGGAAACAGCGTATTGACCCCAGACCGCAACAAAACAGCAACATAATGATTTACTGATCAGTGATCAGGAAGTCTTCTGAGATGTTTTCACGCATCCATTACGAAAATGAGGCTCAGCTGGTTGAGCGCACTCAGCAACAGCCCATTTTAATCCTTTGATTCGTTGCATTATCATGGGGCTAAGACAAATTATCAACCTGTCGCAAATATATGTCGCAAATGTTATTTGTGACAGGTTGATATTTGTTTTAGCCCCATAATAATGCGACGAATCAAATGTTGCTTAGCGCGCTCAAGCAGCTGAGCCTTATTTTCGTAGCCTGGATGCGTGAAAACATCTCAGAAGACTTTCTGATCAGTAAATCATTATGTTGCTAATGTTTTCTCGGGGATGCAGCACGCTGTTTCCTGGCTCGCTTCATGGAATAAGGCTGTGAAGCTGACAAGCAACGGGCATGGCGACACCGGTGTTTCGCAAATCGGGAGATCTTGGCGGCAGCGAAGAACGTGATCTCTCGCGCTCGTTCTTGTGCGACTCACAACGGGGGCCACGTGACTAAAGTGGTGCTCTACGTATGAAAATACAAAATTTCAGTTCATTCTCTTTCATTTGAGGCATAATTTGTCTTAATCGGTGGCATAGCAAAGTCACACGACAAAAATAAAAAAGCTTCAAGACTTCTGGGACACCCTGTACAATCATTCCACTCTACCAATATATCTTTCATCTACGGAAAACACCGCATCATAGAATGTTTGTAACATAATAAACTGGCGGCGTCTCAAGGCCACAGCCCGTCACCGCACCACCGGTCGTTTACACGGAAGTGTGAGACAACCAGATATTTGCAGCAAATATTCTAGCCCTGCGAGATGAAGTAAGACCGACGAAGTCAAACTAGCAGGGCCTAGCCAATACATATATACTTATTGAGATGCTTGGTAGTAAGAATAGGTGCTCACGGGCCGCAGGCAGTCACACACTGATTGATACCCTGCTTGCCCGCTGCCAGGCTCGGGCTCGTCGCTGAACAATTGGGAGCTGCGCGGCTCGGCGTTTGCATCAGACACCTTCATTCGGCTGACGCCAGACGCGCGCAGCATGCAAGGTGGTCTCTGGAACAGACATGTGAGTGCTGAATGAACTTCTTAAAGATTATGTTTTCGCATATTTATGTAGAGGCTGTTCACCATGAATTATATTTCCTTGAGAAATATTGATGAGAAACGTGACCTCTGATTTTCAAAGCTGCTGCGAGTATTTTGCTGGGCTCGCTGTGATTATCTTGCATTGATATACATAAGAGAGTAATTTGAGCATTGCTGGGTGTGCATGTTTTGCCTTTTTATTGCGACCTCACTGCTAAGCTGACCAGTGTTCAACTCCGATACCAAAATATGACATATTTTTGGTAAATGTTTTCAGCCATGCTACAGCAGAAACTGGGAAATGGAGGTACATTTCAAGGTGTTTGGCAGCGGCAAGGACCTCTTTGGAGACGGATTCGCGATATGGTAAGAGCTGGCAAGTGGCAGTACAATATCAGATATTTTAATTTTGTTAGGCAGCAGTTTAAACATAACTTCGAATCGACGCCTTTTGCCTTTATTGGCTGAGCATTGACTGGCTAGTATGACATAGATCACAAGTTTCTATTTGTACTATTTAATGTGTTTAGATCGTAGCTCGTTTCCCGAGGTCCGAGTGTATTATGTGTAATGTGAGTAAAGTATTTCGGTGCCATTGGATACACAGCACGCCCTCTAACGCTGTCCGTTCCCCAGGTATGTCCGCGACCCCAGCACGTGTCCCGGAGGCGCACACTGCTCGGTTTTCGGCAGCAACGACTACTTTGTCGGCCTGGGAGTGATCCTGGACACGTACAACAACTACAACGGAGTGCATAACGTGAGTGCGGCGTCAACCAGCTAAGAATGTGCTTTCTTCGCTGTCTTTTCTGGATCGAGAAATGCACTGTTGGTTGAGATGAGGAATGAATGTTGAATCGTACATTTGCCCCTGTGTATTTCATGTCGGATCTCTCTCTCTCTCTCTCCCCGTCTGACCGCTCCCCTCGTGCCCCCGCAGCACGAACACCCGTACATCTCTGCGATGGTCAACAACGGCACTCTCCACTACGACCACGACCGGGACGGCACCCACACGCAGGTGGCCGGCTGCTCGGCAAAGTTCCGGGGACGCGAGCACGATACCTACGTCAAGATCAAGTACGCCGACGACACTGTCACCGGTGAGTTCAATGAAAGGTGTTGTTTCGACGAATGCAATGCATCGGTCGTGTTATCGAGCTCATCCTTTAACCTACCTAAGCAGCCGTGTGATAAGATGCGTATTTGTTATTTTGTTACATCGTAGAACGGCTAGCAGCCAGGACACCTTCAATTCAAACGCTAAATTGTACCACCCTGATTATGGCTGTTTAGGCCGGCTCCATTCACCGCACGGTGTGGTATTCCCCCGCGACGTCAAGTGCGCGCCTGTGAAGTGTCACCCTCTGTTATCGAGTCGGTTAGCGTCCCGACTGGCTAGGGGTCCGGGCACCTGCTTGTAGTACCGCGATTTCAGCGACCGGGCACCAGCTGCCTGATAATGAGGAGGTGACTAAGGGCGTTATCAGAGGGGCGGGGTTAGGGGTTAGGAGTGACGCTGACACCTGCTGCAGCTGCTGCCGATATACACCAGTACGACTCCTTTTGGGGCGGTAAACGGGTAGCGATGGAGTAATCCCTGTATAGTCGACTACAGAATGATGTTCCACTCCTCAGAAGCTATCAGTTGACCGGAGCGCTAAGTTGTGCCGTTTATCACGCAATTAAGCGTGTCGATTGTGAGCATTGGGACAAAGCCATAATTTGTGAACTCAGCCCGTGTGATGCGGCACAGCCTACCACTCCAGGCAAATAATTGCCTGTGAAAAGTGGAACATCATTCTGTAGTCGACTATACTTGCAAAAGTGTGAGGTGCTACTTCCAGCTGGCCTGTGCACGACACCCTACGTACCGACTATGTGCCAAATTTAAGCGTAAACGACCCAACCGTCCTTGGGATGTGGAAGCGGCACCCTGGACGTGCGGGCGTGTATACTGGGCTCCAACTGACTCTTACCCGACTGACTGACAACTGACTTTACACGGCACCCGACTCGCAAGTCGCAGGTCCCTCGTAGTGTACAAAATTGGAGCGCAATCGGCCCAGCTGTTCTTGAGATCTGGAAGCGGCCCTGCACGTGCAGGGTCACTCATTCAATCACTTTCTTTCATTAGCTCCGTCTGCTTCTCTCGCCCTTCACATCTATTTTTTCTTTCTCTCCCCCTTCCCCCAGTCATTTCCCACACCTACACATAAAAATCTCACCGAGCCCCGCTGCCTCCCCCGCCAGTGTACACGGACGTGGAGAACCGGCGCGCCTGGAGCCAGTGTCTGACCGCTCCGGGCATCATCCTTCCGACCGGCTACTACTTCGGCATCACGGCCGCCACCGGCGACCTCACCGACACGCACGAGATCTACAGCGTGCGCGTGTACGACCTCGACTCGCCCGACCAGGACCCGGCCGTTAACAAGGAGCGCGCCAACGTACTGCCCTCGGCGTCCTTCTTCGAGGCGCCACGGGGTGAGTCGTGGGGGGGGGGGGGGGGGTGCGTCTGTTTGAGTTGTGGGGGATGAGTGAGGCATGGAGTCGAAGGGAAAAAGTCATCTGTGCGAGTAACGGATATTGGTGAGTGGTGTTGAGGAGATGGAGATGAGCAAGTCGAAAATTATATCAAGTTTTCGTTGGGCAATAAACTAATCACGCATAATGCACTGAAGGATTTCAAAATGCAACGTGTTCAATAGGTAAATATTTAGCCTTTTTGGTATGGTAGGTCTATCCCAAACCTAGTTACGTGTAATCTAAGATCTTGCTTCTCCCAACTGTCATTAACCATGCCCGCGCTCCCCGCAGACCACGTGGACGACCCGAAGCCGTCCATGATGTCCGGCTTCAAGAAGCTCTTCCTCATCCTTGTGGGCGTCATCGTCGTCTGCGGCGCCATATTCATCGGCGGCATCTTCTACGTGAAGCAAAACGAGCACTCGCGCAAGCGGCTGTACTGAGCTGACGGTGCCACCGACGGGGCGGGACAGTGGACTGTGATGGTGTTATTTCGCCGCGTCGCGGCGCGCTCGCTCCAGAACGCAATACGGACGGGCTCCCTCCGGGCGCGGCGGCCGAGCGGGCGCTGTGTGGGCGCTGCGGGCGGTGATGGCGTCAGGGCGGCGGCTGCGGAGCCACGCCACCGCCGGGTCGGAACTGCGCCCATCGGTAAGTCTGTCTGACAGCGTGGCTGGCGCCCCAGACCAGAGCAGCTGAGCCATCCAATCACAGTCGACGTTATCGTACATGCCATCATACGGAGAGTCATTCGCCCGAACTTCAGACACCAGTTGTGCCGTATCGTGGACTTGCTGGACAATTAGGCTTCCCCAGGAGAAAATCAGGCTGATTGTGATATGCTTTTGTAAAATTACTTAATCTTTTTCGCCTGAGAGCGGATGGATTGACAATCACCGGTCCTCAGTTGCACCTTATGCTGCAGATGGGAGTGATATCGGTCAAAGTTGGCATTATTTAGTTCCAAGCTTGTGATAATCGGTACCTATATACGGCGGGGCTCGCTTAACGGCTCGGTTTGTGAAGTGTCCGATCCTTTTTGCGTTTTCGGCTTACCGTGTTGTTTTTATGTTCGCGAGTGTCAATGTTTCTGAAATGGAAGCGCCGTGATAGAGCCACGAGGGCGTTTTGTCCGCGGGTTGGAACCGCTCGAACCGGGCATACCGCGGCTCAGCGCGGTGGCTGGCAGTGCCGTCTGGGGTACACGGCGCTCCTAAAGAGGTCGCCAGTGACCCGTAGACTTGGCAGTGCGGGCCGCGGGAGGCGCCGAGCGCTCACATGATAATCGTGGTGTGAACCTGGCGGCGCAGCGATTGAGTAGCTAAATGACCCCGCGTAGGGGCTAGTCTAAACAGGTCAGTGAATGGTGGCGGACTGTCTACTAAACGGGGAGCAATGCTGGGTGGGACAGCCCCTGGTGTGCCCAGGCATGCGTCTCAGCGGCTCTTATCAGAATGCGAGTGAATTTAGGGTTCCCTAGGAAAACGGCCGAACTTCGGGATTCACACAAGGTGCATGTAGGCTTCAGGCAGCCTACCTTTGAGCTGAGAGTTGGAAGGCGCCGGCGCGCTGGAGCGTCTCGCAGTCTGGCGGCGGGCTGGATTCGACCCGGATATTTGTCGGATCTGCTATTTTTACACCGTCGCTCAGTGGCGCCACATTGGGCCTCAGCCGGAACGCGCAGTCGGCGTTCGCTCATCCAAGAGTGTTTGGAATAAAGTGCGTGGATTGACAAATATGGTGTTTTGTCTCAGGAATGGTGATGATCCTCAATTTCTGAAACTCTTGACCTGAATCTGGAGTCCTTTTCATAAGCCTTCAGTACTGGTGGTCGCGTTCCTCGGTCGTTTCTCTCGACAGCCGGTGAGGAATAGTGTCTGTGTTAGAGTGATCCGCATTCACATTTACATCCATATGGCTCGCTCAAGCCAACGGCCTCGGCTGCTCAGTTTATTTCGTTTTTTTTTTTCGCTAGATTGTTTCTTTTCTTGATAACCTTCTGTCAGTGGGCATCGACGTTTGTGGCGGTAGTGGACGGTGGTACAAAGGTATTGTCGACACATTTATTTATCAAAATATCCATTGCAGAAACCTCTGCCGTGTAGAGTACCAGTCAATTTCATCCAGAAAAGAAGGGAAAGGTAGAAGACACCTCACATTCACACATTTTTCTAAGACTTGGAAATATCCGTTGTTGACGTCCTAATACCTAGCGATAAAATCACTCCCGGTCCGGCGACTGTGTGTTCGAACACTCGCCCTCGCGTATAAATAAACAGGTTGGGTGGCGCCCCCGACGTCGCCAACATGGCGCGTCGGGGTCCGAGCGGGGCGACGCGCCCCCTCGGCTCAGCGCCATCCCGTCACCGGCACACTTCACGAAAGACTTATCGATCCCGTAAGAGCGTCGTGGCGGGCGCCGGACCGGCCGAGTCTGCCAGCCTCTCACACTGTCCGCCCGGGTGGTAGTGGCCGGACAGTGCTGGCGCCGCCCGGTCGCCGCACAATCGTCACACGTTGATACTGTTGATGCTCGAATGCTGTCTCGGAGTCGGCAATTGACGGCCGTTGCGTGGCCCGCCACAGCTGCCGGTGTGAGCCCCTCGGCAGAGGAGCTCGGCGGCACGGGCCGGTCACGGAATACCGTCGTATTGAGCTGCGTTCGGTCAGTGCCGCAGCACGGCACATCACCATACGCAAACCACAGGGTCCAGTACAAACCATGGAAGGCGTAGAGTCCGTGAAAGCCTGGTTCACACGCACTCCCATGGCAAGATTATCTACTAGCACTCACTACTGTCGATAATCCACATTCCACAGTCCACACGTCACAGACACACACCACAATGTAATGTCCACCGTCCACAGTCCACTTCGCAATGATGAAGCACTGAGACTGTCCATCGTCGCAGGGCAGTCCTGGTCGCTCGGGCGGAGCGGCGCACTGGTACCCCAGCACTTCGACCCGCACCGAAAGCCCAGCGCGATCACTGCCGTCTCATAGTTCAGAGCCTCTTTTAGCGACGCTGCCGCCCCTCGGCACCGGGTGTTGCCACCCTGACGCTGTGCGAGAGGCGGCAGCGTCCCGCCGACCCCCGGCCGGCGCCGCAGACACGCGCGCACGACTAGCCGAAGTTCTCGAAGTGGTGGATGAAGTAGGGCAGTTTGCGGCCCTTGTTGACGTCATCACATGCCGTGCTGACCGATTTGGTCAGCGGACGCGGGCCACAGCTGAACACGCCGATCTTGGAGACCTGCGGTGGAAACAGTCGGTGTCAATTACCATCTCGAGAAGGGACTTGTCAGCTTAGCAGAACAAAACATGGCTGAATACTCGATGCGTGAAGGGAGTATATTTCATCTTATGTAGTTGCTTGCTCTGTAGGCTGTGGTAGGTTTTCAAATAATGATTAGAGAGCGAAGCGGATACAGGACATGCGCTATGAAGCTGGTGCTCATGTCAAACCGCAGTAACCACTTACGTAGTTGTGCTTCTTCTGGATGAACTTGAAGAAGGAGGCCATGTCGGGCCTGCCGAAGTGGTTGATGGCCTTCAGGCCGGTGAACATGGAACGGTTCGAGAGCCGCTGGAAGTGGTTCTCGCAGATATACTGGAAACAAGAAACACGTTGTGAACACAGGTCCTCGCTCACTAGAGTAGTGAACATGCAGAGGGAGATTCAGTGAGTTAGCGAGACTAACTAGCCACCATACCTAACATTTGAACTTACTGTGAGTCTGTTTTAAGATTATCGGACGTTAAAATAAGTTGCTAAGGCCTTGACATTGAAGTCGAAGCGAAACTGTAGCTCTCGCACAGTCGGTGTATGAGCGGGGATGATCAAGTGAGCACTTGAAGCCTGAAGGTGACGATGAATCTCCCGCCCTTGATAGATGTTTACTGGAACGAAAGAACGAAGATATAAAAAGATGTCTTACCAGCATGGTAGTTCTCAGGTCGAACTTGTGGAAGAACTGTGTGATGAAGATGTGCATCTCCAGAACCTGGGTGACGTCCTTCTTTTCCACGTCCCGCAGGACGTCGATGAACCACTCGAAGCTCTTGTGGGACGGGCAGATCCACAGGAAGTACACCTGGTAATAATGAGATGGAGATGTTAGTTCAGGCTGTGCTTGTGGGTAGTGCATATTTTGCTTTCTTATCCGTACTTGACACTACGAGTATATTTATAGTAAACCAGATTTCTCTGCCACCTAAAAATTGATTTTAAGTCAGTCTTATTCGTGAGTCGATCTGACAACGTGGTCCTTTGCCTCTATCGGCTCAACTGACCAGCTCCCCAATCTCCCGAGTCCGCACGCACCTTTTTGCAGGAGACTCCCGAGTAGCGGTTAGTGGACGTGCCGAACACCAAGTCGTTGAGGATGGAGGCGTACGGGGTGACGCCGATGCCTCCGCCTACCATGACGGCCACCTCGAACTTGTACCAGTCCTGGTTACCGCCTCCGAACGGACCCTCCAGACGGATCTGACAGAATGGGAGGGACCGATGGTCAGATAGAATGTGGGGAGGGGGACTTCCGCAGACGACTACGTTGGTGAATGCATGAAATAATGATAGAGTGGCCTAGGCCTAGTGATATACAGTTCTGATTAGGGCGAGCATCTATTCGTTTTATGCATGATGTTGAAAGTCATCGTCAAATTAACGCAACAAAGACACGACTTTCAACGAATTATCGACTGCCTTCGTTTGTGATAGGCTTGCCGCAGTAGCTAGCATGACAGACGGTGTGGTGCCAGGCTGTGGCATTCTCACCCTCGGAGGCGGCGCGTCCTCGTCCTGTACATAGTTGATGGGGTCGAAGAAGTTCCTCAGCTTCCAGGTCCAGGGTCCCTGCGCCTTGATGTGACACGACAGGAAGTTCTCGTGTGGCGCAGAGGTCAGTGTGAAGCTGTGGTACTCGTCGCCCACTCCGGTGCAGGCTAGTCGGACCCACTCGCCTGTCGACAAGGAAATGAGATGATGGCGTCAAAACAGAGCCGATTGCTATCTGGAGACCACAGAGGGCGCAACTGGCAGCAATACGAACAGGTGGCACCACAGGGACGTTGAGTTCAGTGAGCTCAGCGCTGCACTGCTTGGAGTCTTGGACCATCCAGCATCTCGCTGGTTAAATCTTGTCGTCTCTAAAGCACACCAAGCTATGGGCCGAGTCCTTTACCACATCAACTTTCTTGCTTCGCGGGAAGATAACTCACCAGAATGGTACTGGAAGTTGGGTGGTCGGTAGAACTTGATCTTCAGCACGTCCGAGGGCAGCAGCTCGGTCTCGATGATGTCCAGCTCCATGTACTTGGTGCGCAGGCTGATGATCTTGTCGAACGTGTAGATGATGGCGGGGCCGATGAAGAACATCCAGAACCTGGTGAAACGTGCGGTGCTACCTCAGATCTTTCCTACCGTCTATCGTCAGACATAAGAAGTCTTTCGTCTACTGCAATGCAGCTGTCGAAAATGAGAACCTACTTAGTGTTATGATATTGAACGCTTCGCTGTGATAGCAAGGCTCTTGAGGTCACCGTGCGGGAGTTTCTGCGAACGTGTTTCTGAGAATGCGCACGTGAGCACCGCCTCACCTGGGAGGTCCCGTCAGCCGGGCGAGTCCGTGCACGATGCTGAGGATGTATAGCCAGTAGTACAGCGAGTGCGAGTACCAGAAGTACTTGTACGCCCTCTTCCTCACCAGCGGGTGCGCGAACACGAAGATGATGATGACGATGATGTATAGCACGACGCCAGAAATACCTGGCGACGAATCAAACGTTAGCTTCAAGTGGACACATGACTCAGTCACTGCTGCGGTATTAGGAAGGCAACCATGAATCCAACGATTCGCCTTTTTGATTTTTTATGACATAACTGCTTATACGGTAAAGCACAAGACAAATTTGCTATAGCACATGCCCTTGGCATCTAGCCAAAGAGCTGGTTGGTTTGTATAGTAATTTCCCTGCGTTCTGCATGGAAGTGATTCAATTTGTCTCACCTGTCAGTGTGTTGAAGAGCCAGAACATGATGCCCGGTCTGGCGTCACTCTGGAACGTCATCTCCTTCATGAGGCAGCGCAGGTTGTCCAGGCTCTGGGTGGACACGTGGTAGAAGTTGACCAGGTGGCCCACCGCGTGCAGGATCGTGAAGAAGAGCGCCGTGCACGCCACGATCTTATGGAACTGGATGTGCGAGTCGATGGGGATGTACTGGTGGATCGAGTAGTTCTTCATCAGCGTCAGGATGTTGCGCGACATGGTCAGCAGGAGCAGCGAGTAGCAGAATGAGAGCGAGGCGGCCGATCCTCTGGTGATGGCGATGCCGATACCCATGACGTGCCGCAGGTCGGTGTGCTCGGCCAGGAAGCTGTAGTCTGCGGGGTGCACGGACGTGTGTTAGCAGTGTTCATTGTTCAGTGTTCATAGCGGTGCAGCATGATGGTAGCCGGATAAGGGCGGTACGCTGCGCTCTACATTGACCCAGATATCATCATGTCAGATATGGTCTACATACGTCAAAGGAATATAATGGTGAAAGTCTGGAGGAAAACTCGCTAATGAACTCAGATAAAACAATGAACTACGACTGTGATTGAACGTCCAATGTTTTCCAACGCCTCACTTAAATCATGTTTTCCCTGTAGTCAGAGCAAGTGTTCAATTAAATTGCTGCAGGTGTTACATGGGTTGGAACGGTGCATTACTCAGACACCACGTGCTGCAAACTCACGGATGAATCGTTCGACGAACAGGGCGATGGTGATGACGTAGAAGACGAACAGGTAGAAGATGTTCTGCCGGTTCTCCTCGAGGAAGGTCACCCAGCTGTCCCAGCGCTTCCACCACCAGTGGTCGCGACGCTCGTTGAAGGCGTCCACACGGAAACTGGGCATTCTGTGGACGGTATGCGGTCAAGGCCATGAAGCTCGGATTGTGCGACGTTTGCGCCCAACGACTGACATGTCAAGTTGATAAAAATCGTTATAGCATAGATACACACAGTTAAATTGAATTATTTCTAAGTCGGCATAGTGTTTCTTGTTCAAAATGCACGACAAACTACGCTTCCTGCAAAATTCCATGAGAGATACACAGGCAAGCACAACTAAAAATCATGCGCGTTTTCTTACCTGGCAACGTTGGTGGACGTATCCAAGAAGTTCTGTTTGGCGCCCTTGCAGTCCAGTCCGATAGCGATGAGGTCTCCCTTGAACTCCTTCATCAGCAGCTTGAAGTCGTCGTATGTCATCACGTCCTTCTCCTCCAGACCGGCCGACTTGAACATGCCGTCAATGAGCTCGGTGACCTCCATATCGGTCAGACTGTTGGTCTTGGCGATTTCGACCAGCGACCGTAGCATCTCGGACAGCTCGTCTTTGTCGATGGTGCCGTTGCGATCGTTGTCGCACATGTCGAAGATGATGCGCAGCTTGTTGTCGATGGTGCCGCGCGAGAAGAGCACCACCGTATCGAGGAACTCCTGGAAGCTGATCTGTCCGTCGCCGTCCTTGTCCACCACGTTGAACATCTTGTGCACGAACACAGCGTCGCCCTTCATGCCCAGCGCGCTGGCGAACTCCTTCTTGGTGAGCGACGTCCGCATCACCATGATGATGTCGTTGGAAACCTCCATCTTCCGCTTCTCACCCGGCTTCAGACCGAACGTCAGCGCGTACGCTTCGCGGAAGAAGTGTTCGAGTCGCTTCTGCCTCCGCTCCTTGGTCTCAGCGTTCTGCAGCATCTGCTCCTTGAAGGTGGTCACTGTCTCCATTGTCTTGCTGTGTCCGTTGAGGAACTGCTCCAGTTTGGTCAGGAAGCGTTTGCGCATGTTGAGGTTGTCGAACTCGAGCACCACGTCGTGGTCGTTCGGCACCCGGACCAGACACATGGGCTTCTTGTGCGAGTCTTCGGTTACCTCCACTACCACCGTTTCGGTGCCCTTGAACCTCGCCGTGCGCAGCTTGATGCCCTTGCGGTTCAGCGTCACAAACGCCACGTCCGGGCCGAACTTGATCTTGACGTTGCGCTTGTGGTTCTGGTGGAGCCACTCGGTGACGAACATCTTGTCGGTCGACTTGCCGTTGTTGTTCTCCTCCTGCTTCATGCGGTAGCGCCGGCGGCGGCGGTTCATCAGCTTCACCACGCCGTAAGCGGCCCCAGCGGTCAGCAGCGGCACCGCACCCAGGAAGATGCACGCGTAAATGTACGGCACTTCGCTGCCCTGGAACGGCAAAACGGTCACGCTTGACATGATGCAAAAAATCACAATGGAATCTTAAAGTCCAAAATACCGTAACATTTCCATTAAATTTGTGTAATTCATTGGAACTCCTTTGTAAGTATCTTAGTCATTTTTGTTTTGTTATGAAGAGCAGCTGTAGGATTTCCTTTTCACCTCCCTGCACTTAAGTGGTTTTATATCACTTCCAAGAAATGTTGTCGGCAAACCCGTTACCAATCCTAATGACGCCGGGTTCAGCACAACGGTGCAATGTAAACAATAACATGTAGAACACAAGCAACAACTACTCAATAAAACAACTCCCCCACAATCTGTAAGAACATGTCCAGCACTCGACCAATTGTCCACCTATTTGCTTCACAGCTCCAGCGCCCCATGACACCGGGAAAACAGGGGTCGGAAAGTGGCCGCTGGAACACCCACCTGGAAATAGTCGTGTCCGCTGAGGAACCGGCACGGCTCCATGAGACTCGCGTTGAGCTGCAGCGGCTGCGGACACGGGTCGTCGGCCGTGTGGAAGAACACCTTCTCCTGGATGTCGAGCCGAGAGATGTTGGTCGTGGCCAGGATGATGTCGTACAGACGCACCTTGCGGATCGTCTCCACTTCATCCTTGGAGAACACGCTGCACGCGGGACGAGATACTGGTCAAAGCACGTGCGTGCATCGAGTCACTGATTAATGAGATGTGGCTGGTGACATCATACCCGATCGTATCTGTCTAATCGGTGATGGAATTCGTGATACCGTGACTAAGTATGTATAACGACGGGAAAATACCCAATGATTCCCCTCTGCATTAACAGAAATGCATTGACATTGTTCTAATTCAACAATGAAATTCATTAGCCGTGTTTCGTTTTATTACAGGATATACAATAATACATTGATTATGACGTATGCACATAAATATTATTTTTTAATGTAAATTTCCTCGCCAGTTTCATCGAAAGTAGATTTCGCTATACGGATGCTTCATTGCAACATGCATCCTTGGAAATTTCCCAGCATTCATGTCTCAGAATTTAGTTTCCTTCCTTGTAAGTTTTAAACGCCGCTTATTTTCACAAATTGACAGCACTTGTATGCCGGAACAGGGTAAAACAAACAAGTAAGGTCGAAGGATAAACGGTTAGTGCACAGTTAACCTTGCGAAATATTTCAAATATGAAAGCAAATCTCTGTACAGATTGCATGTAACTACTGCTAACACCCCGTGCGCTATGAGATATTTAACTTAATATTTTTACCCGTTTATCCTCTCCCTATCATGCACTGCCCGATTTTTCAGTCTGGCGATCCTAATTATTTTGTATCCAACCACCATATTCAGTGACCTTCCATTTACCCACCGACCAAGCCACCTCTCACTCACTCTCACTCGCTAACTCACCCGTTCTCTGTGTTCTCGAACCAGAATCTGTCCGCGTCTCTCAGTCGCTGGAACTGTTCCTTGATGATGGCCCTGAACAGCTCTCCCGGTCCGTCCCGGCTCTCCAGCATACCTCCCACGTACAAATCAATGTTCATCACGTCGCCGTTATAGGCGTCCATCAGCTCGGTGAAGATATCGGGGTGCTTCTGCGCCAGCTCCGGGTTCACCTCTGTCAGGTTGGTCACCATCGGCAGCTGCGGGGGGAGCGTGATGGTGCGGTTCAACGGACGGGCCTGGGTGTTCACGTGAAAAGGGAGCGGGTTGGTAACTGTGCTTGCCTGGTACCAGGTGGGTATTCACCGCGATTGTTTTCCTCAGTAGTAACTGCTTTGAAATGCGAATGCCTTATATAGGAGTTGGTGCAAGTGCATGCATGAATGAATCAGCCTAATACTGCGACCAAACGATACAACTAAATGCATGTTTTCTTTGTGATTCAGCAAAGGCGATCTGCTTTGATCCAAGCCCAGTGTTCTTGGGAAAACCCAAACTTAAAAAAAGCACAAATGAGCAGCGAAGTTAAAAAACGGCGTTACCAACACAAAAAGGATATTTATGAATTGACGCTAAACAATATGAAACATCAACCACTGCGCGGTATTTAGTTCTCGCCATCAGTCCGAACACGCGACTGCTCCAAGCTCTGTGTGCCACCCACCTTGAAGCACTTTCTGACGGTGTTATAGTCGGGCAGACCGTTGTCGCGACCTCTCATGATATTGAGGGCGCCCAGGTCGCGTCTGGAGAACTCCATCGGTCCAAACAGTTTGTCACGGACGTCCGAGCAGAGCACGGCGTCCTCCTGCTCAGCGATCTGAGAGGCCATGCCCATGAGCAGCTCCTCGACCGTGCTGTCCTGGAGCACATCCTGTGAGAGAGGTCAGCGGTCAGAGGTCAGAGGTCAAGTTGAATGTCACATCAGACGCCCGGCCGGAGTACGGAGTAGTATGATGAGATGTCGGAGCATGGATCAAATTAGACCAAGTCAGGTCATGATTATGACCGTGACAGGACGCGGAGAGTTTGAGAGGTCGGGACACGGAGGCGCGTACCCAATTTTGCCGACGGAAAGTTGGTTCCAAGAGATTAAAGTCTGCCCAATAATCACTTATTTGCCATTGACCGGGAAACATGTATGTACGGTCGTTGTGCCGAGGCCAAAGTTGAAGTGTCAAAGTTTATCCGTCTGCGGTGCAGCCCACTGGCCAGGCCCATTGTTTCCGCAGCGCAGCATCGTTTTCCCGTTCATGACCGAAGTGATGCCTGTATCCTTGTAGGCCGTATTCAAAATATCCTGAGACATAACTGGTCTGTTCTTTTCACTCTCCAGCCGCGGAAAATCACAAATCACCGTTTGTTGTCGCGCCTGGGGAAACGTGCGGTACAGCTATGTGCCGCTGTCGGGTGCGGCTTTCCTCTATGCCCACCCACACTGCTCTCCAGGGGGTGACTGCTAGTCAGTCAGACAGATAGTTATAAATCACAGCGCACCCCGTGCTGACTGAATCTCGACTCTGAAGTGTTCTGGCCTCCCACTCAGACAGTTTTCAGTCCTATTTCCCTCTCAAGTCTACTCCTTCAGTGTTGGGAGTAGCTTCGGCACGACGAACAAAAAGGCAAGCTCTGGCTATATAGGAAGGTCAAAGGCTGAAGACGCCGTCGAGTGCCCGATCTTCTATTTGCGATGACGGGTGGGAGGAAAATTGTCCAGAAGCCGAGGGAAGAGGAGGAGGGTTTGCATAGAACGTCAAAGCGCTCGATCACGACAAAGCCGACGGGAAGGTCGGTGATTTAGAGGAAAGTGGGCGGATGATTAGGGTAGGATTGGCTGTCATTGAATGCATCAGGCGATGGACAGATTGGCTTTGATCGTCCCGTGTGCTCACGGTTCTCCGTGAGACTGAGACGGCCGAGGCCTTCAACTTGAACCCAGATTAGTCACGAAGTCACGATATGACCGGTTCAACTTCCACCCCACTCCCGGAATACACGGCTGCTTATTTTGCTGCAATCAGTGTTTCAATGTCGAACCCCGCATGGAGGGTGTCACGATCTGAGCATGACTAAAGTACATGTGAAATTTGCATGCATAAACGGATTATTCAGGACCTTCATCGGCCTTTACTTTCGTGTACCCCGATCTGATCGAGGTGCTGTTGAGCATACACATTTTTATGTGTATGAGGATGAATTAAATCGAGGAAACCCGGTGCTTTGAATATTCAACTCTCTGATGACCACAAACGACATACGAGGCTCGCTAAACACGCAGACACGTAGGGCTCTGATGTCGAAGCAGGGACTTACGCTCGAGTCCCACCAGGTTGAACACAGTCGCAGAGCGTCGTCCCCAGTCGCCGTCTTCTTGAAGTTGCACTTGTTGTCTCGCCGGTACAGGCCGGGAGGGATCATTGTGTGGCCGAACCTGACAAAATGCAGAAAAGGCACTTGAATAAACGGGCGAGCAATGTTTAAATAGCGGATACTGGTCGCGAATATAATTTAGGACTGAACATAAAGGTAGTCCCCATTTTGCTTGGTTTGTATATGCTCTTAATTGTTTAATATTCAAATGGGATATTATTACTGTCAACTACTTTCCTTGAACAACATTAGAGTCGCTAATCGGGGGTGAAACATACCATGTTGTTGTTTAGGCGTCGGTACGACCGACTTCACAGCGCCGAGGACATTCGTTTCGGTTCAGTCGCCCGGCCACAACTCTGCTCACCAATCACCTGTGACCCGAGACATCACGTGACCAACCCACCAGTCACCGGGACTCGGACGGACGCCGATCACGTGACCTCACCTGAAGGCGGCCGACTGGAACACGTGACTGATGCCGGGGTGCACGTCGGCCCGGTAGCCCTCGTAGGGGTCCACGGCGTCACCCAGGAAGGCAGGCAGGTACTCGTACATGGCGACATTCTGGGGACGGAGGTCAGCTGTCACACCACGGCACTCGGTAATTTGACGTGCCCTCACGGCTGACCGAGGCGCGGGTTTGCTTGGCTCGGCTCCACTGGGCTCTCGCGCGGAGTGGACTCGGTTCGGTTCGGTTCGGTTCGGTTCGGTTTGTCGGTCCGGTGCGCCCAGGTCGACAACACAAACAGTTGTTTGATGGATGGCTGATGGCGGCCTGGGTGCAGTGTGGTAAATTTCGGGCGGGAGGTCCCGGTGCAATGCTGTAAATTTCGGGCGGGAAGGCCCGGTGCTCTGCACGGGGAGGTCTGGGGACTGAGCGCAACACAAAGCAGGGGCACTGCACGGGACCGAGGGCAGGGAAGGGACTAGAGAGGGAGAGGAGTGAGCACTGAGCAATGCAGTTATACCCGTCACGGCACAGGAGCAGCGAACGACAGAACAAGGCCCCACAATGACCCCATGGTAAATGAGAGTGATTTACCAGCAGGAACAGGAGTACAGGAACAAGAATAATGTATATGATATTAAAGATACAGACATCCAATTATGCAAAAAAGTAAAAGCCAATCAATATAAAATGGAGCTCATAAAGAAATTACGACTACCCGACAACCGCGAGAATCCGGACCATCTCATTTAGAAATAGCCGACTTGACAAACGGTTAGGAAGTTATCTAGCGGCGCATATTCTTCCGGCGGTCGCGTTGCGCGTTGAAAGATGTCCTCTCGTGCCGGTGAGCTGTCACCACCGCGCCGTCATTGCCGCGCCGCGTCACCGCTCGCCGCGCCCAGCCTTGGCGGCGCACCGGCTCGCCAGGCGCGCCAGCCCCAGTTTTTGCCGCTGTTATTATTACTGGCCCAGCCGGGCAAATCATTGGGGCAGGCAGTGGACATGCCGGCGAGCTGGTCAGCTGCACCGCGGAGAAATTAGCGCCGAGACGTCAGAAGAGGTCAGCGGAATCAGCGGCCTCCGCGGAGCGCCGTGCACCTAATGACACCCGGGCGCCATCCTCGGGCCAATCATCATTCCGCGACTCAGCTGCACGTCTGCACCGTTCCGCTGCCGGGTCCGTCGGCTGCCAGCCGGTGACCGCAGCCCGCGAGCACGCGACGAGCGGTGGATCGTCCCCGCCGCACAGGTCAGAGACGCGGGTAGGATCGGTTTCACTTTTAACGCTGCAAAGGTCACCGAGTGGTATTGACAGAACCGGCTCGCCGCTGCTGCTGGGATTAGGAAGTGAGCACGCTGCTACCGGTTTTGCTAGCAGGCTTGAACATCAGTTTGTTATTAAATTTCCATAATATGGCGTCGCTCCTGGCACTCAAAGAATAACGTGCAATCAAAAGTGACGGATGTCACAGCAAATGCTGAATTCCGCAATAGCCGGTTGAATAAATGTCATGATAAGCCAAAGTTATCACACCGGTCCAGTCTTATCGAACTTCCCTTTCGTATCGTTGATGGATGGCCACTTTATCAACCGCAAACTATAGATCGCTCGCTATATGACCGCGTTCATGCATCGAAAGTCCCCGTCGAGCTGTTCAAACGACGTCAGCTGCCAGCTCCTACTCACGACAGCTGGCAAGCCGACTTTGAACAACAGTACGTGCTGCTACTGCAGCTCACAGCGCAAAAGATAACTACATACAGACCTCTCCACACTGCTCAGGTTTACATAACAGGCGGGAAGGAAACGACGTTACGTAATCATCCGGAACAACACTTCGCGAACGCCGAAAAACCTCGGCGAGATGTCTCATCTTTCGCGCCGCTCGGTTGTTATTACACCTCTACCGTACCGTGTGCAGACAGTAATGCCCCACCATTAGCGGCCCGGAAAGATGCTCATTGTGCGAGTCCTGAGCGTGCAAGAAGGCGAGGAGCAGCGACACGGCCCATTAGGTTCGACGCAGAGGGCACGTGAGAGGAAGGAGGGAACGATGTCTTTGAGCTTAGGTACCCCTTCCGTTTCTGGCCTAGAGAATAACCGTCTACAACGAAGTCGTATTACGAGCTTAGAAATTTGCAGCTGTGAAGCTTAGAAGTTGACGCGAATAATGCACATTAGGTAAAACATGTATGTAAATACATGAATATTTTGGGTCTCGTCGGCGCGTTTTCTTGGTCACACAATTCACCGTTTTACGTTTATGACCACCTGTCCTCTGCCTGCTAGTTAACTTGTAGTTAGTACATGTGTGGTATGGGCGCGCCTAGCAGTTCAGTAACCTTGGGCCTGAGCAAGTCATTATCCGTCAGTAGGTCAAACCGGATTACTGTTATTATCGCTCAGAGTCATGTCTCTGTCCATGTCGCGCGCTCCTGAAATATCGCACGGCAGACAGCTGCTAAAAAAAAAAACACCGTGTGTGTTCCTTCTGCCAATTTCCTACAAATAGTTAACCTCACCTCATCCTTGCTCTCCCCAAAAAGAGAGAAGGGAACTCTTTCCCTCTCTTTCCCCCGGTCCTCCATCCCACCCGTCTCACCTGGAGCGTTGCCACCACGATGCGGCGGGCCCGCTGGAACACCTCCTCGTCGCTCCAGTCGGGGTGCTCCTCCTGCACGCGCATCGCCACCTTGTTGTGCCACCGGAAGAACAGGATGCCGAACGCCAGCAGCGCCGGGTTCTGATTGGTCCGCTCGTCGCCCAGCACTGTGACGACATTAGTTCAGGTCAGCGGTGTCGTTAGGTGGGAAGTTGATTGGACTGCTGGTCGCTGAACCGTGAAACGTGAATGGTGGAGATCAATTGAGAGACATTAGGGCTTCCAGGGATGCCGAGCGCTTATGTATTTCACGAAACACTGATCGTGAGCCTTCGCGCTAGTGCTTACATGTAGCTGCGTAAAGATTAAATTGGATAATTGGACCATAAAATATACATTCACTACTGGTAGAACAATGAACTGTAAACGAACAGCTGTCATTGCGGTGGCGACTGACGAATGTATCTAAAGGTTAATGATAGGCATTATGCGCAGCCAACGGAGAGCATGTCGGTAGATGATTTCAGCCACCCTGGACTAGGCGTATGTAAAATAGTGTGCAAAATACCATCGTCTCTCCCGTACTTTTCCTCGTATGCGAACATTTAGAATACTAGCGGGAGCTTTTAGAAACGATGGCAATAAAACGGATTTGTTTGGCAGGAATCGTTCATAGTACGGTCCGAGTTTTCTCTGAAATCTTTTTCACTTTGTCTGTTTCCCTTACGTAATACACCATCCCAGCGAACAGCCTTACATCACCCTTCCCCGCTCTGTCCCATTCCGTCCCTTTTCCATCCCGACTACCGACTCATTTCGCCAAAAGCACCCTTGCTCTGCCATCTCCTGCCCTGTCTTGACTCCTCATTCTGCCATACCTGCCTCGCCCTGCCCCCGTCCCGCTCAATCTCGCTCGACCCCGTCCGTCTTTGCTCCGCCCCGCCCTACCCCTCCATCAGCTTGCCAATCGGCCGGGCTTCCCGTCCTGTCCTATCTCTCCCTAGCTCTTTCGCCAGCCGGGCGTCCCATTACGCCCTGCCCTGCTCTACCCCTCCCTGTCCTGCTCTGCCCCTCCCTGTCCTGCTCTACCCCGCTCTCTCCTGCTCTGCCCCTCCCCATCCTGCTCTACCCCGCTCTGTCCTGCTCTGCCCCTCCCCGTCCTGCTCTATCCCGCAGCCACCAGTCTCCCAGGCGGGCGTCCCGTTACGCCCAGTCCCTCTACTCTCTCCTGTTCTGCCCTGTCCCTCTCTGCCCTGTCCCTCTGCCCTGTCCTGCTCTATCCCGCAGCCACCAGTCCCCCATTCGGGCGTCCCGCGGCGTCTCGCAGCGCCTGTCGCAATGATTACAGAGGAAATGGGGCAAGGTCAGCGCGGGGCGTGCCGCTTCATTGGAGTCGACTGCCTCCAGTGCCGAGCGGGGCTGAGCGGGCGGGGTCGGGTCGGGGTGGGGCAGGGGCGGGGAGGGGGAGGACTCGGCAGGACAGGGGAGGAGGTCGGGGTCACGGCCGAGACAGGCAGGGCCGGTTGAGCGGGGTTGGGCAGTGCAGGCCGAGTCGCGGCGGGGCGGGGCGGGGGAGCGGAAGGCGTAGGGATTGTGCGGGACAGGGGGATGACATGATTAAGAGGGGTTAGGCTTTGGCCTATGATGCTTACGGGATTACGATACTAAATGAATCTGACGAGATTTGGTTTGGCAGAGACAGGGCTGGGAGTTCGACGGCAATGGTTAACTATGGCAAATCGATATAAGAACAGGATATTACCGGAGTAGGGGCAGTACGGGATACGAGAGTATGAGTACGGAATAGAGCATGCTGAAAGCAGATGACAGAGCAAGGATAAGTACCCTGATAAAAAGCCTTGTAAGGTTGCATGCCGGTGTAATGTTGCGTGGCGTTTTGTTTGACTGAATCGCGTGGCAGTATCCTACGGTCCCCTGGTTCCCGATTACAGGTGAGTTTGAGTCCGATGGCCGGTGAACGACAGGCCCAGTAGAGGCGGGGGCCGGGCAGGAGCCGAGGCCGTCGCTGGGGCAGGCTACAGCCCGAGGGAGGGGAGGGGCAGGGTCGTCAGTTCGCCACCCGCCGCGCTCCGTTATAGCGGACCACTGTACACCGATTGTAAGATATGGCCACCGCCGACCAGTTGGGATCGCGGACACCCGTTCACTATTCTGGTTTCGTCATAACTGGGAATCAAAGGGATGCCCTGCTTAACGATAAGACACCATTCAAGCCAAAGCGGCTAGGAGCGTAGAATATAATGTGAGGTAAAGATGGGAATGGCGGGATTCGCCGGAACATTGCACAGGTAAATCACTCACTATGAGTAAGACACGGTAACATACAGACCCATCCCAGTTTCTCTTTGAAGGTTTCCACATCGGTGACATTATCGCTGTCGAGCTATATAGATAGAGTGATGAGACAGAACTAAGATAAAAAAGATGGGAATATTGCGGCCTAGGAGGCTATCTTAGGTATGCATACTGTCAAATATATGTATTCAGCAGACGTGTCTGAGCAACAGCCCAAACCGACTCAACTTCTGCCTACTCTCATCGAACGTTGACTAGAGACCTTCCCTTCAATGTAATTTCAACATCTATGTAGGCGTGTTATATCATCATACATACATGCCGCTTATTCGTGCGTGACCCCTACATAAATACGCGGAACTGATCTATGTGCCGTTGTCCATCAGAGACCTGCCTAGCAGCGGTTTGACATCGGAACGCCTGGCTCTTACTCGGGCTCGCCCGCAGCCACACCTTGGGAACTGCCAACAACACACCCGCGTTCCACATACAAACCACTTCGACGAACTCTAAACTCATAAACTGAGCCGCCTCTACGAACATGAAACTCTCACAGTGGACTTCTAAGAATTTCTATACTTTGTAGTCCCATTCGACTGAAACTATATTTGAAACTTTGTTAAATTCTGCTACTGTGAGCTGACACATTCAAGCCACGACATATTTAGCATTGATAAAATACCCTCAGCCAATGATGCGACCCAAATCTATTCCACCTCTGCCTTGTGTTTGAAGCACCCCTCGGCCTGGCTTGTGTAAGCCAGTCAAAATGTGACAAATGAGCTTGTCTGAACTGCCTGAACAATGGACCAGCTATCCAACTGGAATGTATCCGTCACACAATGCCTCGATTAATCGTAATCAATGCAAGTCTGTGGTCATAGAAAGTGATATAAGCTAGCCGAGCTATTTATTGTAACTGAAGCCAGGTCAGGGCTACTGATTAAATAAAGCGACTATAAAGTTCAACTCTTGAATAGACAGGGAGAAAATAAGGCCACTCAAGTCCCAGGCTGCATAAATGCAAATTTACTATCGCCACAGTTCAGTAAGTTTAACCGACATTATAAGTCAACATGAAATATAACTGACCAATATACATAGTTGGAAATATTTACGGGCATTACTAGTGTCGAACTATCACATTCATCCCTAATGCTGTGGGTAATGATTCCATTTTATCTACCATGTGCATTCAAATGTGCAGCATAACAGCACATCACAAAAACATGATATACAAAGAGCTGCCAAAATGACCATAAAAATGGAATTACCGAAGATTCACGTGTTCCAGCTTTTCTCACACAAGCAGTGAACCGGGTGTGCAGAAATCCCAACCGTCCTACCCTGCCAGCCTTCGCGAGTCGCTCCCACCGCGCCCCCGATCGCCCCGGGCGCGGGCCCACCCACCACCCGCCCAGGCGCGCACAATTGACGATCAGCCGGGGCGAAACCAGGCCAGCCGGCCGCGGTTTCGTCACTATACGGCGTCGGCTTCCGTTGTGGAGTCGGCCAGACCATGGCGCTTCTAAACGCTGATAATCGAGTTATGAGCGGTGCAGGTTGTAAAAGAAAAGATCAACCATTATCCACCGAGGCAGAATTAATTATGCAGAGTTTATGCATCACATTTGTCAGATGATACCTCTGTAATGTATTTCATGAGAAATCTTTCAGCTCCAAAATAACTCGATAGTATTTGGCCAGCTCTTGCTGTAGATAGTAACTGCTTTCATAACTTACGATTCTATCCACACCTCACCATACGGCATACCAAACGAATGAGCTATCTGTTATTTTGTTGTATCTAACGTAATAATTTCCCCGTTTACCGTATCGTAAGCCTGATAAGGCTATATAATTGGCTATAGTTAGCTGTACCTATTCTCGAAACTCTGCTTAAGGATATGACTAGATGGCCAGCTTTCGGTATATTGATCTGAGAGTAAGAATGCTTTGTTGCTGAGTCGATTCCTTACGGTACGCCAGCTCGTTAAAATGTAACATTCGCAGCCCTCTCGGCGGTTGCCGGCTGGCCGAATGCTACCTAGGGACGATTCGGGCGAAAAACCTTGTCGCTGACCGGCCGCGAACTATCCGCCTTCGGATTAGGAGAATGGCATGTTATCCACTCGGCCCCGCCGTCAGCGGCTGAAATGCGAGTATTAGACAAATATCAAGCACACGGTAATATTACCGCGCCGGTGCCGCGTTCAAGCCCGGCCGCCGCCGCTCAACCGGTAAAAATGCGTCGAAAACGGTATAATCATTGTTCTGTTTGTTAGAGCCCTTGATGACTTTTTGAAAATATTTTGGGTGGATATTGATCAGAAAAGAGTGTTCTTTCACTCTATGGTAAATTTATAGCCATAAGTCTTCGTTATCAAGGCATTATGACGGTGCAAAGACGACAATGCCTTTTACGCGTAAAACTTGCAATTTGTAAGCGTTTAATTATAAAGATGTGCAAGTGAATGGGCAAAAATATATGTATTCTGAAAAGGTCAGATCCTCTTTTAGTCCGTGAAATGCATCCCGTGTCATTCGAGTGCATCGTTTTCAAATGCCAACGTTTTTCCTGAAATGTGTAAAAAATGCCCGTTTTCCTCGAGATTAGAGACCATTTCTTTGCACGTGGTACATACCTAAGAAAAAAACTTATTGCATACGATAGACCCATCTCTTCTGTATCCATCAGTGAAAACCGCATGTCGCTGCGACTTACGGTTGCCGAGATATAAGCCCGGGAAAGGAGCGCTGCAGGCCCGATTTTCGCCCGATCACGATTTTCGCCGGCCACGTGTTAAGCCTACGGGAGCGCCCTTTTGCACGTGCCGACGGCGCACCCCTGGGCCGATCACCCCCAAATTTTAATACAAAGGCCGCCCACGCCCACAGATTTGGCATGCCAAATTTCACGTCGCTACGCGGCGCCTTTCAGGCGCAATAAGACACATAAGGCATGACACACGGACGCACAGACAACTTATAATTCATAATTACGAGCGAGCGAGCGCAGCGAGCGAAGTGAGTCTTTTCAATATAACGGAAAAATCTCAGTATGAGCGGCCCGGCCCGGCCCGGCCCAGCCCGGCCCGGCCCGGCCCGGCCCGGCCCGGCCCGGCCTGTAACGCTTTTGAGAGGCTTATATCTCAGCAACCGCTAGACCGATTGGCCTGCGGTCTTTTTTGTTGGGTAGCCCCATCCCTTCTACCCCGTAATTGACTACTTTTGATACATCTCGGTGACCGTCGTGGCACGTGCCACGTGAAAAGTCAAGGGTGTTCAAGCTGTTTTGCAAAAGTAGTGATTTTGAAAGGCTCATATCTCAGCAGCCGCTTGGGCGATTGACTTGCGGTAATTTTTGTAGGGTAGCAGCATCCCTTCTACCCAAAATAGGATACTCTCGATGCATGTGGGTCACCCCCAGTGCACGTGCAAAATACAACAATAAGAGGTGCCAAATTTGTTCCCATTTCAGTAACTCGGTAATTACTGGGGCGATTTCGCTGAAACTTGGCATACAGGTAGGCACCCACCAGGCAATGCATTCCCATGTGTTGCGGTTAGGGTGCTACTGCACGTGCGCACGTGCAGGGGGCATTTCCAGATCTCGAGAACGGCTGGGCCGATTGCGCTCAAATTTGGTACACGGTTGGGGACCAGTTAGTAGGGTGCCGTGCAAAAGTCATTTTGGACCCCGTTTGCACGTGCGCACGTGCAGAATGGCGCTTCCAGATCTCAGGAACGGCTGGGCCGATTGCGTTCAAATTTGGCACACCGCTAGCGACCGGTTAGAAGGGTGCTTTGCGAAAGCCCGTTGGAAGCACCCTCTCGCCCTTCCGCACGTGCAAGGCTCACTATCTCGCTCGCTCGTTCTTCGCCCAAAAGGCGTTTTACTGGTATAGATAACCGCTGTTTACTACCAGATAGCCTGTCCATGGAAACTAGTAACAACCATTTTCGAAGGAAACGTTACAACATACCTATCAGGAAATAAATAATTGAGAAATAACATCGAAATGAAATTGTGTTATACAGCAGTTCACCATTGCAGTCTCCACAGAAACGCTACGGAGACTGCAACGGGTAGTTGGTGTGAAACACTGACATCATTCCAAACAGCAGCAGACTTTCAGAGCAAATGACACTTCAACAGAGCAAGCGGCAGTTCGTTACAAATAGCAGCAGTCCGATGGAAACAGTGACACTCTCGCTAGCAACAGTGCACAGATTTAGACCGTTGGACTGACGCGCCAACAGTAAGTTCACTGCATGTGACTAGGGGACAAAACAGACTCACAGCCTTCTGTTGTATCGATGCGCAAAACGGATGAACCTTACTGACCACACACACAAAACTATGAAGTCAGAGCACAAAAAGGATGTCTATGTGTCGTGTCCACGACACATACTATGCAGAAGATTAGAGCTGCTATGCAATGAGCACGTAACTGTTAAATCTCTATGGATAGCTGCTCAGTCACAGTGTTCACCCTAGTCTGCCATCTCGTAAATCCAGTTATCGCTGTCCCTTAACTGTTCAAAGAATATCGATTGAGTGATGCATGTGCGCGATAATGCAAATAAGGTTTCTCCAGATTTAAAATTCCCTAGAACTATACTCTAATGTTTCCTGTGGAAACAAAGCGAGCTTATCATAAAGATGAAAAATAACCACATTTTGTTTTCCTTTACCCGGCAAACAATAGACTGTCATTTATGTTCAGATTCTATTCTGATCTGCGACCTATAAAAACACGATCGGAATGCGAGCCCCAAATCAAGATGGAAAGCCGCTAAATAAGATTAATCTCGCGTGTTTCTGAGGTAGCTATTTACAGCCACATCGGGCATCGTTTAATCACTGATCGGTGGCGAAGTTTTCCTCCCGGGGTGCGGGGCGCAGTCCCGGTGGGCGGCGGCTCGGCGGCAGGGATCGGAGCAGGATCTCGGCGGCCCACATCCGGGAGCGCCGGCCCAACGCATCCGGGCCCGCCCGCCAACACTGCGTGGGTTCCCGAGTGTGTTTGCAGACACTCAGCCAATAGGCTCTATATCCGCGCTCCGCTGGCCGGCTAGCATTGGAATGCATCGATCAATCACAAGACTTGGCTCGGTCAGGTAGGACCACGGTTCAGTCACTATGCCCGACAACGGTCCAGTTAGTTCCTTGCAGTGGCCCAGCCAAGAGCGATCCGAGTACAGGCTTATGCTACAGCCCGAGCACAGTATGCTTCCATTTAGCGCCTCCCGCGGGTCACATCGTCGTGACGTCACTGTCGAGCATTGCGCCACGATCGCCTCGACGACGATCCATGATCGATGAATGGCGCGACGTGTGGCGAATCGGAGCAAAGGCGAGAGACGAGAGAGGAGAGACGAGAGACGAGAGACGAGAGACGAGAGACGAGAGACGAGAGACGAGAGACGAGAGACGAGAGACGAGAGACGAGAGACGAGAGACGAGAGACGAGAGACGAGAGACGAGAGACGAGAGACGAGAGACGAGAGACGAGAGAGACGAGAGAGACGAGAGAGAGGAGAGAGAGGAGAGAGAGGAGAGAGAGGAGAGAGAGGAGAGAGAGGAGAGAGAGGAGAGAGAGGAGAGAGAGGAGAGAGAGGAGAGAGAGGAGAGAGAGGAGAGAGAGGAGAGAGAGGAGAGAGAGGAGAGAGAGGAGAGAGAGGAGAGAGAGGAGAGAGAGAGAGAGAGAGAGAGAGAGAGAGAGAGAGAGAGAGAGAGAGAGAGAGAGAGAGAGAGAGAGAGAGAGAGAGAGAGAGAGAGAGAGAGAGAGAGAGAGAGAGAGAGAGAGAGAGAGAGAGAGAGAGAGAGAGAGAGAGAGAGAGAGAGAGAGAGAGAGAGAGAGAGAGAGAGAGAGAGAGAGAGAGAGAGAGAGAGAGAGAGAGAGAGAGAGAGAGAGAGAGAGAGAGAGAGAGAGAGGAGTTCCGCGCCTCCGGAGGGCAAACCAACAGATAAATGTTTACACATCTGCATCTGAATGAGACCGACGATCGCTCGCCACGCCACTCATCATGGGTAAACATGATGGAAATGATCATTTATTCCGACGAGGCTAGGAAGATAATCGTGAGCGATTTATTGTCGAGTGACGGGTCTATTTCTGTCTCTGCTCCAAAGATTGCGGTGGTGTGACTGCGACAAATTTGGAGTCAAGTGTCTTCAAACCAACATACAGGTGCACTGTAGATTCGAAATAACGAGAGTACATTGTATGTAAATATTTTGCTTAGATCATATCAAAATCATTTGGTATGCTTCTTTAATTGCACGGGTAAATTTCACTCAACATGGAAACCTACCAGTTTTTACAGTTTGCGGCCTCACAAATTCTCTAATAAAATTTTACCAATCCAAGTGTCATAACGGATATCCTTTATAGTTACAGTTATCTTTTACGAGTGTCACGGTTAGCGAGTACGTTACTAGTGGAGACTGGAGGCGCTGGCCAGTCTGGCCATCCAGCTCCGCTTCCATGAGCTCTCGCTGATAGCGAAGGACGGAACGGAGCGCTCAGGGCCACGCCCTATGTGCCCGTGCCGACCGCCGACAGCGTCACCTCCGCCCTCCGCCCTCCGCCCTCACCCAGCCCTCGGTCCTCGCTCAGCCCTCCCTCCAGCATCCGTCCTTCGTCAACCCTTAGCCCCCCCCTAGCCCCTCCGTTAGCCCTTCAGCCCTCCGTCCCTTCCTCCAGACCTCCCCAGCACTCCGCTGGATCACGTGATCGACGCACCGGTCTGCCGCGGACCGATCTGAGGTCACTCGACAGGGGAGTGGTACCGCCGCTGGCGCCGGCGACTACAGAGGTGTCGCCTGACCCTGGACCGACCGACCCACCCAGCCAGCGAGCTACCGAATGATCGAGCGAATACCTGAGGGTCGAGCATTGGACCAACTGACCAACCGACAGATCGATGCAGCCGACCGACCAATCAACCGCATTACACTGACCATTAACTACCACTGAGCACATGGACCTTACTCCCCACCAGCTGGCCGACGATGTATGCTCACAGCTCTGGAGAGCAAAATACCGGGCTGCTCGCCAGGTCCCGCCACGGAGGACTGCGGAGCGGCGCCGGCGAAAGCGCGCTGCCCGAGGCGCCCGTGTTATCGACGATAGCGATCGACCTGGGTTAGCCAGCGTCGGTCGGCTGTGTTTCGTCACCGAGGCAGAGCGAGGAGGACTAATGGCAGGGCGAGGCCGTAAAACAGCGCGGGTAGGCAGCAGCTGCACACGGTGGTCGGGGTTTAGATAGCATCGTGACCTAAACGACTGGACATGTTTGCTGAAAGGATTAATTATGATGGACTTTGGTTATTCATTTGATTTGGTGTGCTTTTGGTATGTGCTCATTTACTGTGAACGAAAAGGACAAGTGGAAACATAGATCTGACAGTCCTGTAGACCTGACAGGAAATTTGTACACCCCGAAAAAATCAAATAGGGCGATAGTGTACTCACAGAACATGCGCTCCGGTGACAGCGTCTTGAGCACGTGTGGGCTCGGGTAGTTGAGCATGGGCACGCGCTCGCGGTTCTTGGGTGGCATGCCGTTCTCATCGGTCCTGAACGTGCCGTTCTCGAAGGAGCGCATCGTGTTCAGCCACGCCTCGCTGGTGCTGTAGATGAAGCTGCCGTCGATCCAGCTCGTCTTCGAGTTGATCTGAGAAGGCAAGGCCGTTAGTCACACTGTGGGAAAGGAGAAATGCTAGGACGTGAGAGGAACTGTCGAATTTGTTAAAAGTCCTAATGCCTGGTAACTGTTGAGTCAAGCTTACCGATGAATGAGCGAATAACCCTGAGACGGTTGTTATCAAAGCCCTATTTATTCACCAGTTTCGGTGCGACGATTTTGTTTGCTTACAAATGGATGACAAATTATCTTTGATTGCGTGAGCATGTGCCATTCATTAAACGAGATGACTTTTAGAAGCATTGATAATCCATAGGGACCGCCACCAGTTATTAGAAACCAGTCTAAGATCATTACAAACGGATGTCGTAATGATAATTTTCGACCCTCGGTAACACAAAATGCCCCACCAGCACGTGGGTTTGTCATTAATAACGCCCAGACAGCTGTGTCAGCGTCCAATGTTTGTCTTTCAGAGTATGATGAACGAGCCTCGTGCGTGTGTGCTCACATGTATGCTGCTATCATTCCACCTAGATGCATCAACTATAGAGCATTGAACATTGGGTCCTGTAATGACGGTCTTACATTACCCTTTAAACCCGTCACAACTAGCAAATCTCTCTGAACCGGACTGAATCGGCTAGCTCAATGCCTGAGTGACCTATCACGTAAAACGGCCCGCCGTGCCGGCACGGTGGACGGTGGAACGGCTGCGCACTCGGGCGGAACCGGCCGGTCAAGACGAGACGGAGCCAGCGGAACCGTGCCCGGCGAAATGGGCGTGCCCTTGACTGCAGCGGCTGGCCTTGGTTCCGTGCAGAGCTCCCAACAGAGCGAGCCGCCTCCGCTGACGGCGGAGGTGGCACGCCGCCGGCGGTCGACACGGCGCTGCCGACCAACAGGCCAACGCCTGGCACTACCAGTGAGACAGCGTCTGATATTCATATCGCTCGGCAAACAGACGTCTTCGGCCACTGCTGCCTGTTGGACCCCGCATAGAAAGATTTGGTGTGATTGGGGAGATCGGACATGCTCACTGTAAGCCGACGCTCACCTCCAGTGACGGCAAACCAGGCGACGGCGTGATGTTTGCAGAAAACAAAACAGGAGCTTATTAAGCCTTCATAACTATCTGTGACAACTGTGTTGAATCACGGTCTATTGCTTGACAGCTAACGGTGCTCTTTATATGCCGTTCACTAGGATTTATCCGATTTAATTTGCGGTTAAGTAGAACCATTTGTTTTAATTAGCGTAGCAATTATGCAGCTTGCTCTTCTCAGATGTTACAGAGCCTCTCTAAGAGTAAGGACCGAGGAACTTTGTAGCATTTGTGTGTGAAATCAAACACCCCAAATACTGAATTTCGACATACTGCCGTTTTTATCCACATCAAGCGCCCATATAGTAACACCATCAGTCGTCTGAAAGGGAGATGAGTACCTACCGGCGCTTTACGAGTCTATCTGAAAGGAGGCCTATTGACGTGAGAGGAATCTAGGCCAAGTGATGAGGTGGTCGGCGACACATGGTGTCCCCGGTCCCGTGCTGATCATCGTGACACGGGACCTCTCGGAGGGTCGCCTGGAGAGAGGGAGAGGAGGAAGGGAGGGAGGGAGGAGAGGAGACAGAGACAGAGACAGAGACAGAGACAGAGACAGAGACAGAGACAGAGACAGAGACAGAGACAGAGACAGAGACAGAGACATAGAGACATAGAGACATAGAGACATAGAGACATAGAGACATAGAGACATAGAGACATAGAGACATAGAGACATAGAGACATAGAGACATAGAGACATAGAGACATAGAGACATAGAGACATAGAGACATAGAGACATAGAGACATAGAGACATAGAGACATAGAGACATAGAGACATAGAGACATAGAGACATAGAGACATAGAGACATAGAGACATAGAGACATAGAGACATAGAGACATAGAGACATAGAGACATAGAGACATAGAGACATAGAGACATAGAGACATAGAGACATAGAGACATAGAGACATAGAGACATAGAGACATAGAGACATAGAGACATAGAGACATAGAGACATAGAGACATAGAGACATAGAGACATAGAGACATAGAGACATAGAGACATAGAGACATAGAGACATAGAGACATAGAGAGAGAGAGAGAGAGAGAGAGAGAGAGAGAGAGAGAGAGAGAGAGAGAGAGAGAGAGAGAGAGAGAGAGAGAGAGAGAGAGAGAGAGAGAGAGAGAGAGAGAGAGAGAGAGAGAGAGAGAGAGAGAGAGAGAGAGAGAGAGAGAGAGAGAGAGAGAGAGAGAGAGAGAGAGAGAGAGAGAGAGAGAGAGAGAGAGGGGGGGGGGCAGGAACTGGTAAAATTAGGCGGATCACCGTGACATAGCATATTTCCTGTTTCGCTATCACAGCTCCTGCCCATGACTCTGAACAGTTCCACTATGACACCTGCTCGGTGTCAAGGCGATCGGGAGCGGCGGATTCACCACCTCAGCCGGCGTGTCTGCGCCACGACACGCCGCTCGCACACCGGCACTATTTGTCAATGTAACTGCCGGCTTGTTTGTGCTGAACGGCCGTTAAAATGTAGATCAAGAACGCGTGGCAGTCCCAGCGAGCCGTGAATGTGTCGAGCAAGGCTGCGGCGGCGGGCGGACGATTTTGGCCGCGTTCCGCTGGTGATGCGACTAATGGCGGGTGCCATGGCAACGGTGGGGACATTTTGGGAGAGGTGGTTATAGGGCTGGTGATTATAGCTTCAACAACGAACACTCAATTGAGTGCCGCCGTGCTTGGGTTACAGGTAAAAAGCAAGCTAATGAAGGTAAAAGAATATAAGTAAGTGAGGAGGTAAACAAACAATTGGCAATTAAATGGCGGCATTAGAGCGTTTGTTTTGTAGTTAGGTGCTAATTTTTTTCGAAACAGTTTTTTATATTTTGGAGCTTGAGTCAGTCTGGGAACCTAAAGTAATCAGTGGAATATTAATATCTTATTTAATCGTCTCAGGATATTCCATAGATCAGAAGATAACATGAGGCAATAAGATCTTCCTTCCTTCCCTTGATCAATTATATTCACCGATCTCCGCCATCACCACCACATTGATTCTGGTTAAACCTGCCAAAAGCAGAGCCAAATTCCGGTCTGTCTTTCCTGCAGCTCACAGGGAAGTATCGGATAGGCGACCTTCAGACTCGTCATATAGCGCCCCCTCAGAACGGTGGGAAATTCTCCGTCTCGGTGACCGTTTTCCGTCACACCGGTCTGTGAACGTCGCCACGCTGACACTTTGAGATAAAAAAGCGTCGCACCGCTATCGAGATCGATGGGTGAACGCCGCCGCACATGCTCCAAAATCACACGTCGGCCGTTGTGCTACCGGTAGTTAACGATAATGGGGTTTTCGGCAGTCAGAGATACCTCGCGAGTGATACCCGGCTATCAGATCATACCTCACGCATGCCCGCGCGGTCATGTCGCCGACTTACCTGTTCTCGCGGCATGTTGGGACACTGTCCGGTCTTGGAGTCGTAGCCGGCACGGTAGAACGGCATGTACTTGCCGCCCTTGCAGTCCTTGTCGTACATCTCGTCACACCGTTCCACCTTGATCTTGTGCATCTCGATCGGACATCCCATCTCGGAGGCCATCAGGATCTCGGAGGAAATCATCTGGCCTAAGAACAGGGGAAACACAGAGGATGTGAAAAGCGCAGTGGTCACCTCAATAGTAAAATCCTATTCACTGCTTAGACGTGCATTTGCCTTGCTTTGAAGTATGTCGAAGTTGCGCTTTGCACTATGTTGTTGCTATTATATCAATTTTAAAATACCCCGAAGAGAGAGAGACTAATGTGCACGCTAATCGTTTAAGCAATTCACGATAAAGAGCCGATCCAATAACCACAGCAATGCGTCTATAGATTTTCTTGTACCGGAGACTGCTATCTTGCACGCCTCCCCAGCCGGTCAACCCTAATGGATCCAAACAAGAGCACAACTCAGACCCATGCTGCAAAAAGACAGCAACGGCCCGCTCTCAGCGGTGCAGGGTCTGAGCGATTTGCATCTCAATCGGTCACGTAGCAGGCTGCCAAGCGCTGTCCAAGGCCGCGCATACAGCTCTGAATGGCAAAGATACTGATAGCAGAGCATCCGGTCCCTGCACAAACTAAAAAAACTTTCTCCGTCGGAGACTGAGCGAATAAGTCTACTCAACGCTTGCTTGGCACACGAGTAACCCCGCACACGAGTAACACTCGGGCTGCGCTCACGTGCCTCCCCATCGCTCGCCCGTTTTGTACCCCACGACCCCAGTCTGATAATTGGACCGACGCGAGACGCTCACTCACCGAAGAACACCAGCAGCGCGGTGCGGTTCTTGTTGGAGGGCAGACCGTCCTTTCCCTTCATGAAGATCTGGCTGAGTTTGCGCGGACTGGGCCGGTCCTGGCCGGCCATCATATACACACCGTCGGCGTATGAGGCCGGCGTTTTTCTCGTCAGTCGCTGATCTGTGGACCGAGAGCCGGGGCTGAGTTAGAGGTGTTCCACACAGGGTGTTCCAGACTCCAATGTCGATGAAGGGCGAGTGTATCACTTGTTCAATGTTCATGTGAATGAGATCAGAGTAGATCCAAGCAAATCATCAGCTAAGCGCGTGCAACGTTGCCCATATGGGGTCATAACTGGAAAAGTGATGTGCTTTTAGGCTGGACGGGATTAAATTGCGGGAGTTTTGCGTCTGGACTACTACATGATAAATCACTGTGTGGTTTTACCACAACCGTCTCAGTAAATGTACATATTTTGGAGCCTTGATTACGCTTATATAATCAACATATAAAAGGCCTATCCGTGTTCCCTTCCTGTTTGCACACACATCTTCACTTTGCAATGCCCGCTCACATAACTGGCTTCGTATCCAACAGCCTGGGAGCGTAATCCTCACAAAATCGCAAGGTGCGTCGCGCTTGCTTTCAATGTCGGTCAGTTGCGTTAACGGTGTTTCAACATCGTCACAAGGCCAAGAACGCCAGCCATATGTCCGGCTGGCAACCGCAGGAGCAGATAAACAGAGGTAGCCGAGCAGACAGACAGATGAGCTGACAGATAAACGGGCAGACAGACAGACAAACAGACAGGCCAAAACAGGGATAGTCTGAGACGCACGGTCACTTCTCTCTGGATGCAACAGCTGCTCTCATCTTACCTCAGCTTGCAGCTCTTTGATAAGGTAATGAAAGCCAGCGTGCTCCTGGTATTTTTGCACCGTATACTCAGCTCGAACACGTTATTACAAGTTACTACAGGTTACGTGACAAAAGCCCCCTGCTTTGGACGCACTGTTCTAGTGTTAGGTGCACCAAGCTTCTTACCATGCAATGTGTGAGCGCTGCGATATGCTGTATGCCAGTACCGACTACAGCAGTATGACAAATCGAATATCATCTCAAAAAACCTGTGCAATTAATGGGAACAGCTGCCTCCCCGTGCTGACACCTATTTGACCGATTGCGTCCCTTTCTCTACGCCACGTCACGACTCCGAACACCGCCCGACACAGCTTGACATCCTCCTTACGATGTTGGTCGACAGATGTCGCAATGTTGGTGGGCCACACACAGCCCAGAGCGGAATGTGCGGCGGTCCGCCTATATGTCCTCACGCAGCGGCGCACCCTGACCCTCCGGCCGTACAACCACTGGCAATGCACCCACCACAGTATACCCAGCGGAGTACACCCACTGGCCGTACACCCACCGGAATACACCCACGAGTGCACACACCCTTGTAATCGGGCGCACCTACTATGCATTTCAGACCCTTTGAGACCCTGTTTTTCGGCGATAATTTCTTTAATATTTATCCAATCGGCTTCAAATTTTCGCAAAGCACATTTCAGCTCAAGCGCCAATTTTTGTCAATATGGTCGTTTAACAAATTATCAAAATTTAGGGTACTTGTCGTTGCCTCGTAATGCTAAAATCAGCTCCGTAAATCCGTCAGTGGAGTAGAGGCTATCCGTGCGTAGGTGTGACGTCACAAACATGTGACCATTAAGCTCCGCCCTCCCGGCGGACGGGGCGGTGACCTTGGCCGGTCCAGGCCGGTCAGTCGGCTGCGTAGAGCGGGCGAGGCAGTAGCTGCCGCACCGGGGCGGATCGCATGGAACGTAGCTGCAGTGCAGTTGTCGTTGCAGCCGAAACCTAACCGAATGGGCAAAAATAGCACTCATAAGTAACGCACTAGCTGAAGCCCTCGCCTTTGCATTTATATTTGCAAAGGCGTACCTACATCCTGTTCAGTTACAGGATGTAGGTACGCCGACCTTCTGTCCCGCCCGGCGCCCCGCACCGCTTCAATCACGAATACAGTCGTCTCGCTGGAGCAATGCGCCAGGCAATCGGCCGTGCCCGCGACTCTTCATCCCACTTTGTTGCTTTCTGCGCCTTCCTCAGAAACATTTATTGACGTGCAAAATATATAAATATTTTGGGATAATGCAGAGGCTTACGCATGATCTTATAGGTGATAGAGTGTGACCTGACCCAACCTGACGATGAGATAGGTGCAACTCTGGCTTAAATAAATGCTCGGAGCCCAAGAGTTCGTCTATCTTTCCTTTTACGGCCGGTTCTGGGGAGGCTAATAATTCATCCTACCCTGATTCTGATCATTCTGATCTGAATATCCTGAGCTGGTTCGACGTTTAGATACCAAAATAAGGAGAAGAGGACACCAATGCCTTCGAACGGATATTTTTTGCTTTCGTCCCGAAACAACTTTGCCAACTCCATCTGTCTCAAGCATGCGGTCCCGCTGCGAACCCTCTGTGGTGCTGACGTCGACTGAAGCGCCATAGACCCACCGCGGTCACGGCCAGTGGGCGGAGTCAAGTTGAGCACGGCGTAACGTGATTGGCCAGCGCTCCTATCCAATCCGGTGCGGCAGCGAGCGAGCCTCTATCCGGGTGAAAAATATGATTAACATTACGAGCCAACGACAAGTGGTCTAAATATTGATATTTTGTTAAGAGACCATATTGACAAAAATTGGCGCTTGAGCTGAAATATGGTATGTCAAAATTTCAAGCTAATTGGACAAAAAATGAAGAAATTATCGCCGAAAAACAGGGTCTCATGGGGTCTGAAATACATAGTAGGAGCGACATGGAACGTTGAAGAGGATTTTACATAACACGGCTTCGTCTACTCGTCTCTGGCAGAAGAGGAACATAGACTGGATGCATAGACATAGACTGGACATTGACGTGGATGAACATAAGTTGGACTATGGACATGTGTAGCGTGCCACAGACTGCTTTCTGGTTAAAAGGGTGGGGATGATTGATCGAGCTGCCACAGTATGATACGGCTGATACTATCGGTAAGTGAGTAACACACCGAGAATGAAATGTACATATTCAAACACCCACTGGTATGTTCCACCCGCGCACACGTGATTCAGTGGCAGATTTGCATGTCACGAATGGCAGCTACAAGGCCAGACAGATGGCTAAACGACGCCCATAGGTCATCAATCAGACGGCATGTGGCGAGGGAGTTACATCCGATGGAACGGTAATTTGATCAAAATTACGGCACGTTTCCTCCCGGCCGGATCATTTTACGGCTAACTCAAGTGAAGGAGGGGTGAGAGGCGCTTGTTTCATCCTCTGTCAGTCGTTCTCGTTAAGCAGCAACGATATCAGATAAGCAGCCGTATATGATTCAGCTCGTTAACGACTGCTAGTGACAAAACGTTATTAGCTAGAATATCTGAAGAGGGACAGGGTATTATCACAACATTAAAGCAATTACATTATTTCTTTGAGTTTGTTCCCTGTGCAGCCTGGCGGATAAGCACCATGCCCTTCAAGGCTCTGCTAGCAAGACTAGTGACTAAAACCTCTGTTGTTTAGTTTAATATTTTTTTCAATTAGCTAGTAGTTGAATGGATCACATCACTCACACTACCTCAATCTACCTGTTGTTCATCTAACGTTAGAATGAAATTGATAACGGCGAACCATGTAATGGACAGATTAATTGCAGAGCTCATAGTGTCATTTTTTCTGGACGGCTCTGTACTCGGGCTCTCAGCCATCATCTCAACCATTCAAAGATAAGTCATTAATTCAAATTCAGGCTTATGCACTCATCAAGCATAGGCTTCTTGACCTTTGCATTACATATCTCGCCTTATCCCCTGCCGGCCAACCTTCATTTTGTGGTAGGTTTAGGGCTGTCCCGCTGTCGCTGATGTTTATTACATAACACTCTTAGCTCCTTCCTGAACTTCGCGACCTGGATTCCCAAGGTCCGCCCGTGTTCAGGCGGTCAGTCCGCGACCGCCACCCAGTCTCAGCGGCTCTGAGCGGCGCGCTCACTCTCTAACCGGGGCGCGGCGGTAGTCGACAAGGCGCACGTGCGTCTGTGATGTCACGTTTGGTGCGGTGATGTAATACTGTGACGTCACAGGGTCTGAATGTAATCGTGTTAGCACGTCGGCATTATTCGAGTCGCAGGGTTCAGAGTCGAGAATGAATGAGCTAAGAGACGGAACTAATAAAGCAGAGGTGATTAAGAGCGATAAATGGGATACATCGTTTACAAAGGTAACTGTTAACCCGCGCCCCGTAGGGCTACCGGCGGACCCTACCACCCGTAGGGGGGGGGGGGCCGTTTCGGCCCCCCCCTAAGATCTCGGAAAGTTGCCGGCCGATTTTCAAAATTCAAACGGCGTTCGATAGCCCCACCCGGGAACTACCTTGTGACCAAATTTCATTGACCTAGGTCAAACCGATGACGTCACAGGTCAGGTCAAAGGTCAGATTTTCACCGTTCACAGGCAATTCAAGAAATGTGCTGTGAAAGCGAGTAAATTGGTAATCTATTGAAAACCATCGATGGTACATTGTTCGTCAAACACATACTTTGCTATCTGAGGTCACTGATACCAGGTCAGGTCACAGTGAGGTCAGGTCACCGGGGGTCACAATATGAATGTGTCGTGTGATACATGTTTTATGGTCCATTTTACATGACAAATGCGATTATGTGGGTTAGGCAGCCTTTGGGGCCAGCCTAGGTCACGTTTTTGTGAAGGTCAGGTCAAGGTCAGGTCAAATTAGGTCAAATTTCAAAGTTGATATTTTTGCATAAAATGGGTATCGATTCGATGCAGCTCGTCACGGGGAGTCTCATGGTGGTCTTCGTTTTGCTCTAAGAGTTCTAGAATTGCCAAAAATTGAGTTTGAAAATTTGACGTCATCATTTTTGAACAGTTTTTTTCGCTATAACTTGGCCAAAAAACGAGGTATCGATCTGAAATTTGGTATGTAGATAGAAGACGGTAGGCACTATCAGATATATTCCGGTTTTTTCGAAACTCAAAAAACTTTTTGGATTTTTTGGCGAATATATCCAAAAAAATGTTTTTTTGATTTTTGGGGGTCAAAACTCAAAAATTTCAAAAATTCGAGATAGCAGTTTTGTAGCCCTGTCAATTCTACACCTTTTTTGTTTTGATCATTTTTCTGTATCTTCAAAGCTGTAGTCCTGACAGGTCTTCTCGCGAAGGTCTTTTTTCGGTCGAAAATGACAGAACATGACGTCACTCTGACGTCATTTGTGGCCAACCTATCATAGACTCTGGAAAAATTTTTGGTCACAATGTGTAAAATTGATGCCCGGAGGGGTCCTGAAAGTTTGGTGGCGATATCTCCAGCTGTTTAGGAGATATCGACCGAAAAGGACAGGGGGGGCCGTTTCGGCCCCCCCTACGGGGCGCGGGTTAAGCTAAACGTAAGGTGCAACTATCTAACATTTACATTGGTTTTAATTTGAGATAGACGAATTGGGCCCTTTGGCTTCGAATAACAGTTTTGGACTCGAATCGGAAAATGGCTTACTCAGATGTTTTATTTCGAGGTCTGCATCACTCGAATTCTAAGGGGCTAATGCAGGAAGCAGGGTTAGAACGTCCCGTGAGGCGGGAAAGCCCTTGAGGGACACTACCCCTCCAGGCGGCCACCCTTGGGACGCTTTACCCCAGGCGGGACTGACCTTACCACCAGTTTTCTGGTGTTCGTGAGTCGTGACTGTCGGCCCAGACAAGGTAGAGTGAGCAAGTATGTGACTGGGTTGACCCTGAGAATAGTGAGGACCAATGTGTGCTAAATGATGCGCCAGGACACGCGGGGTCTCCCCGAAAGTCACCAGACCGAGTCCTATCCGACCAGTCGGGTATCGGTCGAATAAATTTGCATAGATATGCTGAATAGATATGCCCATGTAGTCAACGCACTTATGGCCGTGATTTAACCATCAGACTTGGCAGTTGTAAAGGGGCATGTTGGCAAACTTGGGTAGTTTCGTACCGTTACTTGACCATCGGACCCGCTTTTCCATTCAACAAATATCCTGTAGTTCCAACATCCCCGGTAACGTTATTCAAGTCACGAAGGCAGGATGTCTGTATGGACGGGCAGGTTCAGCCGACCCACGGCCCGTTGTCTGTGTCTCCGGTCACGGCGTTCGATGACGGCAGTACTCACCGACTGAGCCCCATTCTGGGTGGGCGAGGTTGTTGTACCATCCGTCGTAACGCTGCTTCTCCACTCGCTTCGGCCGTTCTTCTTCCTCTGAAACACAAACAGAAAATACGTAAATACAAGCAAAAAACGTAGATAACGGTCGGTGGGACCCGTCCAAATATTTCCCATCCAGTCACTGGGCCTTGTTCCCTTCCTAGATAGTGGGTCCGTTTTTCAATTGTCCCTCCTGGATTTCTCTTCCCCAACATACACTGCGCTGCGTTTCCTCTGTTTCCTCCCCAGACTCCGTGCACCTCTCTCCCTCCTGAGACTGGTGATCCACCACCTCCCAAGACCGCGAGCCCAGTTCCCCTCACACTGTTCCATTCCCTGCTCAAACTGTGAACCCGCTACCTCCCCAGACTTTGGACGCCGTCCCCGCCCAGCCACCGTGCCGCTTCCTGCACCCAATAGACTCCGTTGTGACACCGCGGCCTCCGCTGCACGGTCAGCCGACTGACGCTGATCTGATCGCCATGGTCGGCTCGCTGATGGAAGGTCGCCCTGCGGGAAATTGCCGCTCGGGTCCCCCTCCTACCGACCACCACTGCCACCCCAGTGTAGGGCGTGGGCCGGAGAGAGGCCGCCCGCTTAGTATTCAGCACAGTGGCTCTCTACTGTGCGACAGTGAAACAGACTGAGCCCCGCAAGATACGCTATCTTTCTACGGAAGTGCTGATAGAGTTGCTTGCTGTTTGATAGAGGTTGGAGATATTCCACTTTCAAGCTACACAGAATTGATACCTCGAGCAGGGTAGTCAGTTGAGGGTGTTAGTTTCTTTCTTCAAATTATAAATCATTGCTGATAAGAACGGAAGAGGAAACATCGAACATTGAACATCAGCCTATACCCAGCAGAATCTTAGGCTCGGACCATCTGTTCATCAGCATCAATGTTCATACAGGATCTGATTAATTTGCCTGCACTAAGGCACTATCACTGCACTATCGTGGCCTTTACTTTGCTAAAAGCGCAGCCTTCTGTATATAGATAATTTTGTCGCAGCATAATCACAAGGTGCTCAAATGTTTGATCACTTTGGAGACGTGTGACAAATAAGCATCAAATAATAACAGAGCTACTGCATGACTGTCAATAGCCGTCAATGCAATGTCTCATGCCGAATATAGGTCAAATGTCTTGCAACCTGCCGATGAAGAGGCAATCAATAAAACGAACGTATTCGTCGTGATCACGTGCGATCATAAGTGTGTCACATCTCGAGCGGAGCCAAGGTCAGGGACTCCGGCACGACCCCATGCAGGCACTGTCATGGTTCTGCAAGTCAGCCTGCAGTCCGGTGGTGGCCACTAATTTAAACTACACCATTGTGAAACCTCCCACCTGGAATCCCCAGAAGGCTGCTCACTGGCTCACTCATCGCCGCGAGACGCACATTTCATCACATTTGTCCGCGGGCCGCCGGAGTGGCTGGCTCGTTCTGGCAGCGCGCGCAGGCAGCCGGTGCCAGTCATTCTTCCTGTGGGCAGCACGGTGCCGCGCCCTGCCTGGCCTGGTCGGCCCGCGGTCACCCGCTGAGACGAGGTCAGCCGCACAGCCACCTGCTCCACTGGCGGACGACCCTGCCCCAACGGAACGGAACCCCAGGAGACAGTCCTCAGCTCGTGGTTGCCCGTGTAAGAGGCTTAGAAATAGAAATAGAAATTGAAATAAAAATAGAAATAGAAATAGAAATACAATGAACAGAAATAACAGACTTTTATACGAGTGCAGCCCAAATTCCAAAGCAAACCAAAATGAAAATCAAAGTTATCCACTGCCTTACTCGTAACCATGTGGGTAGACGAACAATGGAGAAAGTGCACACAATCACCCTCTCCCGATTGCTTTCATGGAGTTAACTTTTAGGTGTCAATGTAACTTGCTGAAGTCTTCTCTTATTTACCGTTACAACTTACAGGGCTATTCCATTGGAACGTTGCAACGGACTGACGCAACCAAACCACGAGATAGCACATCCAAGATAAGGCAAAAATAGGCCCTTTATTGTGGATGTGACCTACATATCTCAATGCCCGCTGCCCAGAAGTGGAGGCAAGAGCACAGTTAGTTTGTATTGCTATGCATAAAGTAAACGCGAATACCAGAGAGGAGTTCAGGAAAAAAGACTAGTTAATGCTGGCGAGAAGTTTTATCTCATCAATTACATAACTGCTAGCTGATAGATTCGACAGAAGATTACAATTCCAACTTATCTTGTCAGCACAAAAAATTACACGAGCTGCTGACGCGGAAGGTGACGTAACGGTAGCAGTTAAACAATGTTTTATGATGACAAGCAGAGAATTATTTCGATGATATCAGCGCGCCAAGGAAACGTTCTGCTCTACTAGCTCTCCCCGCGAGTGCGTCATGGGGCGGTGGCAGCCTCGCTGAGCGCGGCGTCATCGCTGGCGGCGGCGAGGAGGCAGCCTTGGCGGCGGCTGGTGACGGACGCGGCGCTCTGTGCTCACCGGCCGGCTGCCCAATGAACCAGGCAGCGGCGGCGCGGCGCCCCGGGCTGCCAGGGTCGGTCCCGCAGCCGCCGCCCACCGCCGCGCAACTGGCCACCTCGCTCGCCTTGAGATGGCAGCGCGCCAGCCAGGCAGTGCTGACGAGAAACTGCGCAACTGGTCCGATGGCAGCGCTGATAAGCTCGAACAAACTCTTCAGACTTCCGTCTACTTTTATACTCATTACATACGTGAGCAGGCGAGTGAAGAAAAGAGCCGTTCAGCCTTCTCAGAGGTGTCAAAACCGAACCATTCAGACTACCTCCAGCCGCCGGCCGCTGGCATTTCCTCTCTCGCTCAGCCGGTTTGTCAGGTCCCCGCTCTGTCCCCTCAGCCTGCCGCACTGAGCCCTGCCCCCGGGGCGCACGCAGCCACACCGGGGAATTCCGTCGCCGAGCGGTGGCGGTGGCAGGGACACCGATGGAGCGGCGGTCCGGCCTTGGTGTAGCCACGCCCGACCGGTGGCCCTTTCACGGCCGGGCGGCGGCCCTGCTCCGTCAGCCCGGAACAGCCGCACAGGGTCGCGACCCGGCGCTGAGCTGAACTGAGCTGAGCTGAGCTGGGCTGATCCAGCTCAGCGGGCGCTGATCACCCGTGAACGCCTGGCGCCTGCCTGCGTGCTCAGTACGGTAGCTGGGAATGGAGCTGTAAGCTCCAGAGATTATCTGCTAAACACTCTCTTCCAGTTTCTTGAAGTTGGGGTTGGAGTTCCCAGAGGCGAACTCGGGGTCGCGCCCTCACGTCCACACGAGGCAGACGTATGACCTCGTGACCCCGAGTCGCTCACCATACGGTGCGGGTGACCCGACGTGAACGTCCCGCTCACGCTGAACTCAGAGATAGCACGCTCACCGCTGAGTGGGTGGCACGGGCGTTCGGCTGGGAGGTGGCATGGCCACATGACTCACGGGTGCGGCCAGGAAATGTTGGCTCATTGTTAGGTTACGATCACTGATCTGTGATAAAAGCACACGTCCACACCAAGACAGCATGCCGTGCGGAATTTGAGTAATGTTTGCAGTTGCCTGTGTGCTTTATAAAGCGAATTCAAGGAGTGAGGCTAGCTCATGTGATGTAGCACATGCATATATGCATGCATGCGGTAAGTGCATGAATGCGATAAATGCAAATATGCGCAATGCGCACGCAGCAGCCTCTCAGTCTCCTGTGGTATTGTCCTAGTCACTGCTGCAGTCTCCGCGGCCGGTCTGTTGAGTGAGTGCTGCGGCACACCATACCTTCGCAGGCACGGCATAGAGGCTGTCACAAAACTGACGTGAGTTTACGGCCCAGAGAACCTTTTCCGAGTTGTCACTCATGCATTATTCATGACCAAGAGACCAACGACCCAGGCGCATGAAAACAACTAAATCAAGCTTCTGGTAACATCTAAACATGTAATTTAGAACGCACCGAAGCAGTGGCATTGGATATTACCATGCACGCCCAAACTGCCGAACGCTGGCGGTGCCAGTCGGCGGCGTTTCAAGGTCTTCGTCATCATCCGGGCAGCAACCCCAGCACAGAGCGACTGCCGCCAGCGTGCGTCGTGCCACGGCCGGCCGCCCCCGCCTCCGCCCCCGGCCCAGCGCCGCCGGCGCGGCGGTCTCCGGGTGGTGCCCTAGTCCCCGTCGCAGTCCCTGGTAATAGTGTCCTGGTCCCCGCCGCGGTCTCTGGTGATAGTGTTTTGGTCTTCGTCGCAGTCTCTGGTGATAGTGTTCTGGTCCCCATCGCAGTCACTAGTGATACTGTCCTCGTCGCCGTCGTAGTCCCTGGTGATAGTGCCCAGGCTGCTATCGCAGTCTTCAATGCTAGCATCCTGGTCAGTCGTGCAGTCTCCGGTGATAGTGTCCTGGCCAGCCGTGCAGTCTCCATTACGGCTGGGCGGGTGGACGAGTCCTGCGGGTCAGTATAACACTGCAGGCGCTACCAGTGCAGCCGCCCGTTTTCGATGCTGAGCCGTAATGGATCAGATATTACTGCACGCCGCTAAATGCTGCTGCTTGAGACAGTTGAAGAGCACGATAGCAGCAGCCATGAAGCTGGGGTGAGAAAACTTGATGCAGCTCCCATCTGAATATTCATGTGCGAAAAGTGTTGTGGGAGTCTGTAGTTATCTTGCAGTTTTGAACAACGAGAGCCGGTATATTACTTCACGCTCGGTTTTAGCAATAAAAGGATACATGTGAAATTCTGGAGAAGCAAGCAGATAAGTCAAGATAATTCCTATATATTTCCATCACACTGGCTGCTACAACTGCTAGATGCTCAATAAATCGACGAAGCCATTACATTTGATTGTGGCTCCGCAGACAAAATATTCAGCAACGGTGCTCATAAACCTCGGATGTATCGACAAAACGTCACTTATTCAGTTTACACGTCAGACAGTGGCAAGTCACGCTTTCCTTATAAATGAACATCAATTATCCTCGGATCCTTACCCAATACTTTTTGACATTCATGACTTTGTCTATGATCACTGAACATAAGTGATAGCCGGCCATTGTCATCCATCACGCACTGTTACCTTA